TTTGTTGTTTTTAATGTAAATTTAAAAACTGAGAGTGAAAAAGAAGAGTTTCGATTTAAATTTGGTCACGGTGACGAGACTTTCTGTGTCTGGATGCATAAGTCAAAACAGCACATATTAGTAATAAATGTCAGTATATATGCCTATTATAAATAAATATGTTTAGTTTAGTGTGGATACGTAAGCATATTCGTAAAAAAATCATTACCTTTTAAATTGAGGCACCAATGAGCATGTCTGTCTATAATTGTAATTCGCCGCAGCGAATTTAAGAAACAACATGGCAACTCGCAATGTTTTTTTTTTCATTAGTGCTATACACTTATTTAATATTGGTTTTGTGTAAGACATTCTTTTAAAATAATAGTTGCCGAAACATTGAGTTAACTTTAGTCATAGTCACTGGATTTTCATAATTGTCTCGTGAATAAATATTTTGTGATATACTTTAAAATTATTTTGTAAAGCATTTAAAAATTAGCTCTCTAGAAGTGAAAAAAATTTAAACTTCTCAATTTCATTTTGAATGATTTTTAATTTTTTTTTAATGTTTGTGAAAATAATTTACTCTGAGACGATATTGGCAAATTGTCCAAGGAATTGCGAAATTCTTGTTTTTTCAGTTTCGTGATGTTTTAAAAAGTTTTTTTTTCTATTTTGAACTTACACTAGTTGTTTCAAGAAATAATTCCTTGAAAGAAAAAAAAAAAGCCAACAAGTTAATTTCGCTTGATGTTCGAAAAAGTTCGATTTACGAATGACGTCGGCTGTAGCATTCATTTCGATTTCAGTCTGTCATCGACAGTCAAAATGAACGGTTGTTGGTGAATAGTTTATGTTATAGTGTTAGCTGTGGTTTATCATTATTACAAAAAAAGTTTTCATTTAGAAAGAAAAACTCTAAAATAAATATATATTAATAATTCTTAACAGAAATCTGTTTTGATTTTTAATCAGTTTTATATACAAATTATTGTGTTGAATGCAAGTGATTTCACGTCAAAGAATTTAAGCGACACAAATTGTCTGATATTTTAGTGAATAAACAAGCAGGTAAAAAAATTATCTTAAATAATTATCTATTGACTTAGACTGAGACTAAGCAGTGGTCCCCTCCGTTGGGATCTGTTTATTTTTAATTAAAAGACTAGACTTACGTGAACTAAAACGAAGGTGTATTTTTTACACGCCTGACGAGACATAGGCTGATGCAACATAGACGCCATTTTGTGTAAATCATGAAACAGATATAAAATAAGAAATTAATGTTGCCACATTATTTGAAATGATTTAGTTTTTTATAAGAATTTCAAAGATAATAAATTAGCTTCGATTTTTAAATGTGTTTAAATATGGTCGGAATAAAGTTGTATTTGTAAGCAATAAAACTATAGCAATTCAAGTGGAATTGTACATTAATAGAAAAACGTTTAAAGTCAAGTTTTTCTTCAGAAATTTTGCTTTTCTCTTGCACAAAAACCCCCGATGAACTACAAATTTGATTAGGAAGAACATTCACTTTATTTTAGTAAAATTATATTATCTAAAATTTTGTCAAAAATATTGTTACAGTTTGAACTTAATTTTACGATTACATATGACGTTTTTTTATTAGCAAGTCTGAATTCAATTTAGATTTACCTCTCGATCTGTTATATTTTGTTGTCCAATCTTATATTCTTATATGTGTAGAATAACCTAACATTCTTTTGGTCGTGTTAGTAAACATTTACATTTTTTACAAATACATATATCAAATCAAATCACAGTTTACCTGTCATATCATATAAAAGAAATATTAATTTCAGGGTAATCTAGTACTCTGGCAAATTATCTAGAGTAATATAAATTAATCTCAACTGTAATAAATTTTGCCCCACATTTACCATTTGAAAATGGCAATAATCAAAAAAAGAATATTAAAGACAAAAGAAACTACATAGGAATCTAGGTTATGTTAGGAATTTTTATTTGATTCTTGTGTTTAAAAAGTCTACCTAGTTCAATTGATACGAAAAGGAAATGAACTAGTTCATTAATATTAACTAACGTACACAATTTCGGTTTGTATATTTATATACCAATTAAAAATAGCATTCAGTTTATTTATATGATAAATTTTAATTTCTGTTTTTATTTATTATTATCAATACCGGTGTCTGTTTTCTATATAAGCAAGATTTATCTAAACATAAACAACTGCTGCTTATAGTACACGAAACAGCTGTTGTTTGTAGTTATAATGTACTAATAATGCCTCTGTATGTAATATGAGTTTGTGTTTTTGGAGATCTTAGTGTTTTATGAATAGTTTTTATTTGAATAGTAACTACAAAACAAACTTAAATATATGGACCGGAAGTTTAAATCTGGTATCACGAAATCAAGGTGAACGATTGTTGACGAATAGAGGGTGGATCCTAATGGGAGTATTGAGATGGATGAGGTTAAAACCCAAAGTAACGCGGGTAGAATAGCTGTATTCATTACTTCCATTCGATGTGGAATTGCACTTTTCAACCTTGTTCTGTGCCCGAAAGAACAGCTGAGGTGTTATGTAGGCTTCGGTCTCGCCCAAGAAATAGTATCCAAAAATAAAGATTCAATTGCTACCGGTGGAATTCCAATGGGGTGTTAATCGGCACATTATATTATACCATTTGATCAAAAAAGAACAAGAAGTTAAAAAAACACGCAAAATTTTAATTTTTAATAATTTTCTTTATTATCGCCTTCAAAGTACTCTCCTCCTGCGGCAAATACATGCATGCCAACGCTTGATCCAATTTTCCATACAAGTTTTATAGGCCGCCGAAGGTATGGCCTTTAGTTCACGCAGCGAATTCTATTTAATGGCCTCTATGGTCTCAAAACGCGTTCCTTGCAATGGCAATTTGAGTTGGGGGGAAGAGGAAAAAGTCACACGGGGTCATATCTGGAGAGTACGGTGCTTGGTTGATGATATTGATGGAGTTTTTGGCCAAAAACTGCGACACAACCTACACTGTATGAGCCTGTGCGTTATCGTGGTGTAAAATCCATGAGCTTTCCTTCCATAAATCTGGCCGCTTTTTGCAAATGACCTCACGCAAACGACGCATAACGGCTAAATAATACTCCTTATTGACCGTTTGATTGTCCGGAAGGAATTGATAGTGCACCACACCACGAATATCGAAGAAAACAGTCAGCATGACCTTGATTTTGGACGGACTTTGGCGTTGTCTTTTCGGTTTCGGCTCACTTTCAAAGCACCATTCGGTCGATTGTTGTTTGGTGGGCATGTCAAATTCATAGACCCATATCTCATCAAAAGTTATGATGCGCTCGATGAATGTGGGGTCACTATCTGCGTTGGAAATCATCGCCACATCACAACAATGCTTTTTTTAAATGAAATTCAGCTAAAATCGCCACACGAAAATTTTTCAACTTTTTTGTATAGATGACAAACAAAAACTAATCGTACGATATGCGTTAAGCTTTGATAGAATATGTATAATAGTGTTGCCAGCGTAAAAATAAAAAAGAAATTTGCCGATTGCATAAGCGCGGGAATTCAAAAAAAGAACGAATAAGTGTCTCTCTGATCACAAACTATTATATGTGGGTTAAGCCTTAATGGTAGGTTATCGCATTAAAAATGTATGAACTCTGATCGGAAAGTGTTTTAACAATTGTAAATATTATTTGCTATATGATTTGAATATGAATTTCATTTGATTTGAATATAACATTAGAAAATTTCAAACTTATCAGAATATTGTACGGAGACGTTTACTATAAGCCATCAATGATGTCCCATTACTACATCAGAAATGAAGGCACACACAAATACTTAAGATTCCGTAATGTCCAAAAATATATCAAAGTCTGAAGGCTGAAATGGTTTGAATCGTCGTTGCGCACACTAATTCAGAATTGCACTCTCTCAAATCAAATGAAATATACCGTCAGAACATGCGCTGGGCGTCAAAGTATACTTCTGTAGATTCGTCTGAATAACTTCATGCAAGTGGGCACAGACACTATTAAATAAAAGTGCTTTAGACACTAATTTGTATTTCATCAAGGAAAGAAGAAGAAGAAGAACTGCTACACAAACGACAGTTCAGATATGTTTTTGTAAGAAAACCTATAATATAATTAAGAAAAACTATTCGATTGCCCAATTGTATTTTCATAAAAACTCGAAGAAATAAAATCCTACAATCACATCCACGATTAATTCAAAGAGAGGATACAACAATGGCATAAGATCCTCTTGGAAGTAAGTCCTTTGCGTGTTTGTTCTACGTTACGCATGCGTTGGACGTTGACACAGCAGATATGAATAACTATTTCACAGTTAAATTCATTAAAGGAATACTCGATATCTCGATATCTATATTCGAATGCTAGTGTGTACTGCGTAAAATTTTAGAAAGTATCCTAAAATTGAAAGCAACCAAACTTTTGGATAAGTGAAATTAATAATATAATCTGCATTCCCACAAATCCGGCAATACCTATCCAATGGCTGGACAATGATTCACACTTTATTTCCCGTTTGATTTTCCAATACAGAGCATTTTGCATGTCGGGATAGCTATTCAAAACTACCGGAGTGTTGATGTCAAGAAAGAGAATTTTCTTAAATGGCTGATGCAAGTAAATATAAGATCAGAGTCTATCGATCAACACAGAGCCATAATGAGAATTGCTGCAAAAGACTGCTACGCTAACCTTAATATTATTACATCAAAGATTGTCGTCAAAGACTATTTATCAGATTTATTTTAGATTAAACGTATCAACCGTATTTAAACTTTAGCAAAGCCAAAGTCCATTTTTTACGTGAATTATTATTATCTTTACACTTATAGTTATATATATTTAACGAATTTTATCCTTACATGCTACTATTAGCTTATTAAGCAATTATAATATAAAGTGCTTGTTACAAAAAAGAAACAGATGTACAAATTAGTTCTAAATTAGTGCGTCTTATTTTTTTTTAGATAAGCGAATATAGTACAAAAAGTTAGCTTAGATCACAAAATGGACGAACCTACAGTGTTAGAAAAAAAGATTGCAGAAATGCAAAAATATGTGCCATTTCTTGAGGATGTAATACATAAACTGAAAAATAATCGTCAGGAACAGACAGAAAATCCTCGAAAGGCTCAACTTCAGAAAATGGAGATGCTATATGACTTACTGACCACAAAAGCACAGCAGTAACGTTTTAAAACCCTAATGCCCTATATTCAGACTTGTACTATAACTATATTTTATTTTTTAGGTTAAAATTAGAAACTTTGGAAAAATGTGAAATGGTTCTGTCGAGACTTTACAGTAAAATCGAAAAAGTAAGTACAGAAAATATATGCATCATATAAAAGTTGAGTTCATATTGAAACTAACTCTAATGGCTATAATCTGTATCTGCATAATATTACTATATATATCTTCACGAGAGCAAAAACAGAAGATAGATTTCTCGTAAATAGTGGCATATTCGCCGCTCTCTGTTATTAAATTAAACAATATTGGAAAAATAAGAAATAAAATAAAGTTGTAAATCATGCAAAAAACGTGATCCTTTTGAGAAGTTGTGTATCATATATAAAATATTTCTATTATTTACATATTAATCCTGCCTTCATACTGCTTATAATACTAAGAGGATATATATTGAATTTACTTATAAATATACAGATATAGGAAACTGCCGTTGGAGTTAACGCAAATATGTATTTTATTTCATGTTGTTTTTTTTTTTTTTTGTCATTATGGCTTTATGGCCGTGTGCGAGTTAAACTAAATTATGACTAAATTCTACCGATATGGCAATGAAATTACCGCAACACTGAAATTACCGTAAAGAATTACTTCTTATTCGGAGTATTTTTACTTATTTCATGAGCCTTTGAATTTTATCAGTATTTTGTGTTATAATATTATAAGCTCTTATTTAATACTCCGAATGCTATTCTAATTAAATGTAAAAGACTAATTATATAATTCTTAGTTGTCAAAACTCATCTCCCACATGTTTATGAACTGTTTAGTTTAACTCCCACACAGCTTACTCTACATTTTCTGTATTTTCTAGTTTTCTATGTTTCTATATTTCCCGGTTTTCTATATTTCTACATTTTCTATATTTCTATATATGCTTTATTTTTCTATATATATTTTTTATATACATATATCTGTATTTATTCTGTATATTTTTCATTTCAATACACATTTCTTATATCTATTTATAGTTTATATTTGAATGTATATTTTATATATCAATATATATTTTATATATTCTTTACTCTATTATTTCTATTTATTTTATGTAATTGTAAAAGTAGTATTTTTATTTAATAACATTTAAGGCCGTGTGCGAGTTCGGGCAATAGTAAATTATGTCGGTATGACAGCGAATGTTGGTATTTACCAGAATTTTGAGTAGGGTAAATTAGATAAAAATTAGGTAAATTAGGTGTTACCATTGTGAACATTTTATGAGATGTTTAATAAATAAATAAATTAATTTGAAAACTTTTAACCAAAAATAATAAATAAGTGCAATAAATAAATATTTACATTAGTGCAGTGCAAAAAATTGCTAGGAAATTTCAATTTACTTTACCTCAATTTACTTGAACTCGCACACGGCCTAAATTAATAAAATATGTTATTGTAGTGGAATAACCTGTATATGCGAAGCATAAATAGATGTTCAACAATTTTTCGGTCAAAAAAATAGTGTATGGAACCAAAACTTTTAGATATATGTATTTGTATGTTTGTTATATATGGAATTTTAAATATATCCGTACCTGAAATAGTTAAATAGAAATACAATAAAACCTAAAATTATATATTTTTAATAACATTTTTATTAAAATTCGTAATAAATTATTTATAATGACTACAATTTGATATAATATTTAATTTAAATATAAAGATATGTTGCTTTTTTTTTAATAAAAATTACAAAAATATTTTAAATATTTTACTTAAACTATAAAATAGAAATCGTAAAGTATAAATTCTAAGTTTTCACATTTTGCTCATTAAAAAAGCTTTTCATAAATTTACACAAAGATGTAGCGGTCAGTGACAACATAATGTTCACGAACATAACTTATAAGCTTTTACGTGAATACAGTATGTTAATAACATTACTCTGTTAAATTGTTTTTGAAAGTTGTTGTACTGGAAATAATTTTACTTATGAACAACAACGTTAATCTTTATAATTTAATATAAAGTGATTAATAACTTATTTTTGTTATATACGAATTTTATATATTCAAAGTTTAACGTTAAAAAAATATATATATGGCACCGGATGAGTTATGTTCTTAACATAGATAGCTTCACAGTATTGTTTGAGCTTTATATATCATTTCCCTCAAAAGTTTTTTTATACTTCAGTATTTTATTAATATAATAAATATTATATAATATATATATATATATAGATATAATATAATTATATAAAAATATATTATTTTTATTTATTTTTATCTATTGAATATATCTACTTTTTATTATTAAATAATTAAAGCAAACTATTTTGTCGAATTGTAATTGTTGAAAATTGAATAATTTAACAGAATAAACCGTAATAAAAATATTATTTTAGGTATTATTTTTAAATAATTGGTATTGGTATAATTAAATAATATGTAATTGTATAGAAAAATACTTTTCAGTTTATTCTTTTATTTTCATTTTCGATTCTCTTTTTTTTTTACTCATTTTCGGATTTTTTATAAAAACATTGGATTTAGCAGTCAAATTTATTGCAGAGTGATACGGGGTCATCCAACAACACACCGGACCAAACGACTAGTAGTGATATGGTTATTGATATAACGTGTCCAGCCAGCCCGCCACCTCAGATAAACAAAAAAGTGGAACCTCCTATTGTCATACCTACAGAAAGATTATCATCTCCAACTACAGTTAGAAATGTGTCTAACAATAAAGCTAATAATATTAAACCTGCATACCAAAATAAAGACTTTACTCAAAGAATGAAAAATTTTAAAGACAAAATAACATCTTTAGAATTACCAAATCAAAAGTCATTGGAACATATGAATGTAGGCACACAAAAAAAATCATCTACTGTAGCAGCCAACAATTCTAATAGAAATGATTTATATTCTCCAGAAGACTGTTGGAGTGATAATGAAATTGTCAAAAAACACGAAAATAGTTCGCATGCAGTTGAAAGACCTAAGGGAGTATTCGAACGTTTAGGAGATAAAATTTCTAATGACTGTTATGCAAATTTTAAAGTTACTGTCAATCAAAACAATGCTAAATCGAAAATGTCTTTAACTTCAAAAGCAATCACACAAAATGCAGCTCCAACGAACAACACTACAAAAAGTTTAGATTTAAGTAATTATATAAAGGAAGTTCAAAGTTCAGGTTGTAATGATATATCTGAAATTGGTTCACGTCGTCCAAAGCACGAGAGTCCACCATTAAATAAACTTCAAGAAGCAAAGAAAAAGCTACTTACAATTTATAAAAGCGGTACAAAACAAGATAATTTAAGATCAAGCAATCCTTCAGTTGAAAGCATGTACTCACAACATAAACCACATCTATCTTTGGATAATAATAAATCATTTCAATCATCACTAAATTCAATGGGTTTTGAAAAACCTGTTGATACCAGTAATAAAACTATTCGAACAGATCCACGTTTATCTAGATCTACTGGACTACTTACAAACAACATCTCAACAGTACATTCCAATCAGCATTCTCAAGCACAGTTTTCAGCACAAAATCAAAATCGTTATGGAATGAATCCACCACAGAGGCTGCAAAGTGATCCAAGAATCAGTCGAACAACTCAACTTGCAAATGACACAAATCGTACGTATTATAATAGAACTTGGCAAGAAAGTCATATGCAAGCGAATTTTATTGATACGACGTTTACATTTAATCAAATGCAATTAGATTTCAACACTTATTCACAAAATTTAAACACATATCAAGATCAATCGATGTCTGCACCACAAACACCCAAAACATCCAATCGTAATCAAATGGATACAGAAGAAAATTGGGACTCTGATCCAGATACAACAGATACTCATAGACCTCATATTAATGAAAACTCTGTAACAACGAATGTACCAAATTGTTTGGATAGAAATATGGATAAAAACTTTGAGTTATCTATAAATAATAACCACGCAACTCATCCTTCTATGAATAATACAGGAAATACAGGAAATGTTAAAGCAAATAATGTTCAAACGAATAAACCTAATAACCCACAACCATATCAAACTTCGCCTAAAGTAGTTAATCAAACTTTTATTCCAAATGCTTTTACAAATAAACAAACCTTTAACAATGCATATAATCCCAGATTTACTGTAAATCAAAACAGAAATGGGTCAGCAAGATCAAGTGCGCCACAACAACCGCGTACCTATGGCGAATACAAAAAAGCACAAGAAGCAGCTCGTTTAGCTGCTGTAGCAAAAAGTTTACCTAAAACTTTACAAACGCCAAATCAAAATCAAGTGCAGCCACAAAGTGAAACAACCAAAAATCCCTTGCCTACTCACAATACCCCAGCTTCAACATCAACAAACACGGCAAGTCCGTCAACATTAGATAAATTGTATCGCAGTACGAATTTAGCCAATTCTTCACTTCCTTCAACGCGTATTAACTTTAAAATACCAAAGAAAGATATAACAAACAAGACAGATGTAACTGAAAATAGCGATAAGAATAGTACTGAGAATTCAATAACAAAGACCAGTCATAATTCAGAACATACCAAAAATAATGATATAACTTCTTCCAATAATATAATAACACATGTTGTAGAAAGTAAAAACGAATCGAAGTCCATAGATAATGTCACTACAACTAAAAGTGTTGTGGCAAATACAGAAAGCAAAAATAATGATAAGAAGTCTTCCACTATAAATAAACCAAACAATAATAAAGATGAGTTGACAAGTGAATCTTCAAACAGTACTCAAAGTATTTCCGATAATACTAAAAACCTGTCTGGAAATATAAATGAATCCACTAATACAAATGATACCATAGAGCTACAAAATCTGTTGGAAAATACAAAAAATAAGAGCCTGCCAAACAAAATAATAAAAAGACGTTTAACGATGTGCGGTATGAGAACAACACCCATTATTTTGGAAAGTGAACTACTACCTACTACCTCTTTAGTAATGGAAGATTTACAAGGTAAACATAATGATAAATTAGACGATAAAATTATTAAAAAACAAAAGAGGGAAAATGATATGTATAAAATAACAGATGACAACTGTACAGTCTCAATACAAAACATAATATACGGAAAGAGGAGTACTCGCGCACAAGTTAATTTCAGTGAAGGTCAACAAACGAAAACATTATTGAAGCAAAACGATTCCCCAGAGAATTCCAAAAATAAAAAAGCAACTACTAAAAAAGCGTTAACAAACACAGATGCAACACCGAAGGAAACGAAAAAGAAACAGAGCAAACCAGTTCAAAAGTCCTCTTCCAATAAAAAGTTGCCAGGAAAAGAATTGAATACTGTTGAAAGCGCAGAAAATGAAGAGGCTTCTACCTCGAACTCTTCAAGTATTCAAACTAATACTGACCTGGAAAATCGTGTGAGTGCGGCGGTCACCGATATGCACAAATATTTTCCACAGTGTTCGGGTGAAGAACTTAAAAATTTATTTAGGAGTTTTCTTGAAAAAGAAATGAATACACAAAAACAAACAGAAGATGTTACCTTAAAGGATGAAAAACCGGCCAAAAACTTGACCAATGTTAGTAATGAAGTAGATGAGAAAAAACAAACTGAAAATAATCCATTAAAAGGAAAAAAGAGAAAGAAAAATGAACTTGATCGTCTTAATGAGGATTTAAATGAAATGTTTATTCGGGATGGAGTTTTAACGGCTACAGGTAAACGTATGTGTACTCATGTAGCAACAGAATCAGCAAAGAAGGATGAAAGAATTCCCAATGTAAAAACTAAAACAGTTGAGAAACAATTATCAATAAATCAAACGGAGACTCCTCCATTAAATACGAAAGTAGACTTGCATGTTGACATCAATAACGTAAGTGAACCACCGATATCAATTAATTTGGACGATCCCAAATTTCACAAAAAGTGTATAGTTAACATTGTCAAAATTAAAACGCCAATTAATAAACCATGTCCAAAGAGTAAAAAACGTGTATGGTTGTTAGATCATGTGAAAAATACTTGGTCAAAGAAAAAAATAAAAAAGGAAGAGAAAAATAATAATATTTATTGGCATTCCCAATCAATTTATACTTCATGGTGTTTTGTTTGCCAAAAGGATATTAAATTTGCAGCTGTACATTATAAACAGGAACATAATGAATTTTATTTGTCCCGTCTACCACCCTCTGTATTGGATCGAATTAAAAATGATAAATCGAACAAGCCGCTGTTCGGTTTGAAAGAGAAAAAATTGTGGTTTCATCGTTGTCCATTTTGTTTACAATATTTACGAAATACTATTTCGTCTTGGGTGGATCACTTCTCCACGCATACAGGTGAGTACAGTTATCAATGCAATTCATGTGGAAAAGTTGCAAATAAGAAAATGCAATTATCGAACAAATGTCGTACAAATCATTGTACTGGAACTCCCATTGCAATAAATCTGTTTCTTAGGACAACTATACCAATTAAAGGTCATGTTTGTCATATATGCAATTTTGTGCAAATGAATCGTAAGAATTTGGACACCCATTACATAGAACAACATGATCATAAAACTGAAGACGTGCAAAATTCGGGTTACAGTGTGGATTTACTAAATATTGGTAATGTAAAATTTGTTACCGAAACGCAAGGATTAAAAATTGAAAAGAAACTCGAATCTACGAAGAGTAGAGGACTTATGGAATCAGATGATGAGGAATATTTTGATAATAAAAAAACACAGAAGACAACAAAAGTAAACAAAAACATAAAAACGCCGAAAAACGACAAGACTGAACAAAATGTCTCTAACATGTCAGTAGATTGCACACGTATAGATGACAATTACTCTGCTCCTGAGAATGAAGCCACTGATGATAAAATTGTACAAGACCAATTGTTAATTTGGGCAGCAGAACTCCAAGCTGCTGAACGTGAAAAAGAAGCAAGTGCTGCGAATGATTCCCAGAAAACTTCTGAAAGTGTTGCAGTGCATAGTAATATGGGTTCTACTATTATAGAAAATGTCAGCAATATATCTAACTCAAATGCTTTCCTACTAACAAATGACACAAATGATGTGGCCGCAAATGATTTTTACAGTTTTGCTGAAAGCATGAAAAGTTTTGAAACCGAAACTCATGTTCATTTTGAGAAAGCTAAAGGGAGTCCACTCATATCAATAACAGATCGATTGAGTCAACGATTAAAAGACTTTTCTCAAAAGAGTAACTTGAACACAGATATTTTTCCATCACCTAGTGATTCACTTGCAGAGAAACAATTTGTTGTTTCGAGAGCTATAGTAAAGCTTGATATGTCAGGTGAACCAGATGGCACTAATGTAACGAAAGAACCAGTATTAACAGATGGAACAGAAAAACAAAATATTGAAGATGATGAAGATTGGGAAGATGTAGAGATTATAGATCCAGGTCCAAAAAAAGATAAGCTCAAAAATAAAAGAATTTACCAGAAATGTACATTAATTCGTAAAGTAAACGGTAAACCATCTCTTGTATCAAAAAACAAAACCACAAACCAAAACAATTTAACACTAGCAACAGAAAATTCTTCATCGGATATTGATATTACTAATTTAGTCGATCTCTTGCCTAGTTCACCTATTGATATAGCACCTCAACTTTTATCAACAGTTTCAAGTGAACCACTTCACGATTTAACTGGTATTACATCAACATTAGACACGAATTTACTATCATCTAATATTGATACGACTATTGAGAATAGCAACCGCGAAATTAATTATCACGAAGAAAATTTAAATATACAAGAAACTACTAGTACAGAACCACTATTGAATCCTGTGCAAGAAGTAACTGAAAATCGGATTGTAAGCAAAAAAATTGAGAATATAGCTTTTGCTCCAGCTAAAGAGGGTTATAGATTTTATTGCCGTATCAAAGGTTGTAATTTTATATTCTCAAGCGATTCAAGTGGTTTACAAGCACATTTCGGTTCTGATCATAAATTAGTAAAATGGACTGGCTTTTGCAACACATGTAATTTTAATGTTAATAAAACTCGGCAGGATTCATTATCTATTTTCGATGAATTAAACCATTTAATGAGAATTCATTTAGTTGCAAAACCGGTAGTTATAAACCTAATGAATTCTTTGACAAATACTGTGACCAACATACAACAATCAGATCTAAACCAAACGGTGCCAGTTGCAAATAAAATAAAATCAATAGCAAATACTGAGATGTCTACTACACAGCAGTCAGATAATATTAACTTGCCTGACATATCTACTTATTTAACTACTACAAATAGTGAAAATACTAATAACGATATTACAGATAGTAATGAATGCGCTATTGAAATTACTAAAGAGGTAAACAAACAACCTGAGGAGCAGTGTAGACCACGAATTAATGTTAGACGCCTTACTGGAGATAATCTTTCTACGAGAAAAGAAAGTGATACAAATGGCGGTACATCATTAATGAATGATAGTGACATAACCCTAGCTGATTTGCTATCAAGACCTCCAATTATTATACAAAATCCAACATTACACAATGCAAGCCCTCAACAAAATAGTAATGAATCGCTATTCGAAAATATGAATGAGGAAGTAACCATAGTTCCGATTGAATCTAACCCAGCAGAAGGAACTTCTATTGTAACACCAAAGGCAATTGTTAGTGATAAAACTAATACATCGAACAAAAATGCTACGTCTGCTCAAACCCATTTCCTAAAAATAACTAATGTATGCAGTTTAAACCCTAATCCCGATGCTAATACGAGTAGCAAAAATTTATTGCCAAAACCCCAACGTGCTCAAAACAAAGAATCAAATATAATGAAACAAGTCGAAACTGCAGTTTCGGATGAACCACAAATAATTGCTGAAACGTTACCAGTCTCACAAGCAACTACTGGTGAGTTTGTTATAACACAAACTATTTCGACTGAGTACAGTACAGAGGGCGTACCCAATGGGCAGCTAGGATTTAATATATCAATAGCACCAACGAATAGTGCTCCATTAGTTTCCATTCCAGATTTAAATATTAAAAAAAAACTGTATGAGGTGTTTAAATGCGCTGGAACAGCTTGCACTTTTCACACGAGATTCGCTTCAACAATGAAAGATCACTTACATTTTCATGCTTTACAAAACTTTACAAAGAATCGTGATTATATGAAATGCCCATATTGCAAATTTGAAGCTCAGGATATTGATGGATATATTGAACATACACAAAGTACACATATGCCACCAAACCAAAATTCGCTGACAAAAGAAATACGAAATATACTTAATTCCATGGGCGATTCGAATAAAACGTCTTATACAGCAAGTCTTCCCACGAATAATAACGCTAAGAAAAACTATGCAGAAGAATTAGAGGAAACTGTTAAGCAAATATTAAATAAGACCGGTGTATCAGGTTAGTAAAAAATATTTATAATAATTTCCAACTAAGAATATTCAATAAAATTAAACGTAATTCAAGTAATCGGAATAACATTAGGAAGTACGATTAAAACAAAAATATTTCTAATATATGTGTAAACCAATAATATATTTCTATTATTTTTGTATCTCACTATTTAATAGAAAAAATATTTTCCTTTATAAGCTTTATGCTTTTACATACGGTCAAATTATTTGTCAAAAAGTTTTTTCTATTCCGTTTGAGAGATCTCCAAAACACAATTTTTAAAGGCATCAATTGTTTCATCTGCCGACGAAAAATCTTTGTCCACTCCATTTGTCTTTAATGCCAGAGAGCAATAAGATGTTGTGGAATAAGTGGCCAATTATCATTTTATTTAACCTGTTTCATAAAGAATTTCTGTCACCAGAACAGATTAAGAACTCTTCTCTAGATTAAGTTCTAGACTTCATTCACAAAGCTTTAAGGGGCTTTGTTTAATCAATAGTGAAACTGGTACAATAGGTCTCTTCTGGCCGCAGTACCGGCTGTTGGGCAATTTTCACGTCTACTCTCTTAATAAATAAATCATTTTATTTTCACATTAGACAAAATATTATCTTAGATGATATTATATAAAATAGACGATTAGATATTAACTGATTATCTTGGAGTAAATATTAGCTTTTTGATTGCCTACACCATTCGCGAAGAAGTGAACGATTCGACTTGAACCCATTAAAATCACCTCTCAGGAATCCATAAATAACAGATTCCGTCTAAAAAACTATGAAGTTCACGTTGGGAATCTCATTCAAAAGGCTTAACATTTATGGAGTAGATATATCGAAGCCATGAAGTAACGTAAGTTACAGATGGGAAAGTGGGTAAATATAATTGTCGTTATAATAAGTTAGTTAAAAATGGATTATTTAAGATTAAACTCCCTGCGGAGATTTGCCCATTAGACAAATGTGCGCTAGAAATAATGACAATTCCTAAACGAGATCTTCAAGTTTGCATTTAAGGTTTTCTCGCATATTACTGTCACAATGTCATTTGTACCAACGAAGTGCTCTATGACAGTTGACCCATTATTTGTTGTTTTGTGTGCTTAAGAACTCACTTGTTTGTTACGACGAGTGAGATCATTGTAATAATGAAGAATAACCGGTATTTGATACTTTCTCATTACTTTGAACATTTCTAGCGGCACACAAACGTTAAAGTTCTTCGTTACTTAAATGACAATGTTGCCAGATGGCCAGTTTTTGGAAAAAAGAAGTGGCGATTTGTACAAACTTCCTAATACTTAATAGACAAGTACATAAAGTTAGCAACTAGAAAGTTATTCTGGATTTTCTTAGTGTTATTGACATTACATTTGTGATTTTGAGTAATATTATCCATTTAATACTTTATAGATGATAAATTGTACCGCTGCATTGTTCCAAATTGTCAAGCAACTTTAACAGAAAATACGTTTAACAAACATACAATTTTTCATACATCAACTTTGGGATCCCAACCAAATCAAAAACTGAAATGCCCACATTGTTCGACGGTGTATAGGGGATTGAGTTTAATGAAATCTCATATACAAAATCATGGAACGCATAAATATTTTTGCTACATCTGTATGCAAACATCATTGAATTTGAATAAATTACATAAACATATGCTGGAACAGCATTTTCAAAAAGTAGCAACTGTAGAGCCGCTGCTAACCAAAAATGAAGATATTAAAGCATTTGTTGGCCATTCTGAAAAACTCACTCCAAACGAAATTAAGGAATTCGGAAATAAACTCGTACTTGAATTAAAGCGTCAAAAAGCCAAGGATAAAACGATTTTTAGGCAAGATGAAATTGATTTGTTACCTGTAGATCAGATATTTCGGAAAGAAGTGTTTTGTGCCAAATGCAATTATAGGACAAAAGTCCGTTCAAACATGTTGCGTCATCTTCAGCAAGATAAATGCATTCAGACACATAATACACCTGCTGCAGATCCAGTAAATCCTGTTCCATGTTTGAATACGAGCGAAAGGCATTTTGATAAAATGACCAATTTGGCATCGTCATCATTAACAAGTCCATCACCTTCTATTACAAAGAGTTTAGCAGTATTGTATTTGCCAAAATTTAAGTATGTCTACGAAAAAAATATCTACAAGTGTGGTGTACATGATTGTGAATATCAAACTCTTTCGGAGAAATTATTTTTGAGTCATATTAACACTTTACATAGTACCGTTAATACTTATAACTGTCCATTTTGCAAAGAAGAAATATGCAAACGACCAATATCCGTCAATCGCATTTACGAACACTTGCAATTTCATCAACGAACATTATATCAATGTACTGAATGCGATTTTGTACATTTTAATAAAAGCTTTGTGGAGAAACATTGGACTGGTGCACATCCTGGTGCTTGCACGTCTGTAATTGAACATGAAAGAAATGAAAATCAAACAAAAACTACAAAAATTCCAGTCGGTAAGAAAAACGAAACTGTTTATTAATAATTTCAAGAGTAGGATTTTAAATATATGTTTTTATTTTTAGGATCACAAAATAAACGAATGTTATCGCCTGGAAAACCGGTAAAACTAAATACAAACAATGCATCAAATAAAAATGATAATGAAAAGCAAAAAGCAAAATTCAAGTGGTTGTGCAAGATATGTAACTTTTCCTGTGCAGTGTATCAGCAAATGTCTTCTCATACTCTCTCATGCCATTCGTCTAGACATGCCTTTCAATGTATATACTGTGCATACTGTGCCCCAAATAAACATCAAATAGAAAGTCATATTAAAAGCACGCACATTGGTAGTCCTATTGAACACCTTCAAGTATTTCAAAAAGTTAAAATTACCGAAGAAATAGCAAGTCCGCAGCCACTATGGCAAAGGAACGATCCGAAGCGCGTGCGACATATTAGAGGTATACTAATGGAAGATGAAGAAGAATCAACACAAAATCAAAAAAAAACTCAATTAAGTCCAAATACTGTTAGTCATCCACCTGTGGGAGTGACGCCCAAACCAGTGCAAACTCCAAAAGTAAGTAAATATAAGTGAATATATGATTATTTCGATTATTTTCACGTAAAAAAATATAAGCTTACTTAATGTTTTAATATCTCTACAATTCAGAAAACACCGAATTTCATCGGCTGACCTTAATTCAGTGACACTGTGACATTGACGCACTCCATCCATATGATGTATAGATACGCCCTTAGCATAATTGTATTAGTAGGTTAGGTTAGGTTCAGAAGACGCGTGCTGACAGTTGTCCGCACTTCCACTTCGAGGCATATATTGCCCATTGTGATGTTCCTTGGTCGTGACAAGTAGCTTTCGCCAGTTAGTAGTATCGAGCGCCGCCAAATCGTTGGTCACCTGATCCTTCCACCGAAGATGCAAATATCCGCTACCGCGTTTTACATCTGTGGGTACCGAATCAAACACCTTTCTAGTCGAAGCACTTTCTTCCATTCGCATGACATGACCAAGTCAGCGAAGACGCTGATTTGTTAAACGCTTAACTATGTTAATGTCGGGGTATAGCTCATACAGCTCATCGTTTCATCTATTTCGATACAGCAGGACAGGCATGATAAGAGACTTGTAGAGCGTGATTTTTGTTTGTCGATAGAGAGCTTTATATCTTATACTGCCTACTTAGCCAAAAGTAACATCTGTTGGCAAGATTGATTCTTCATTGAATGTTTAGACTGACGTTAATGGTGTTTACGCAAGTTCTAAAATAAATAAAGTCTTTCTCAGTGACGTGGGTGCCAAGACGTTCGAGAGATTTGTTTGTTGACAGAAAGTACCACAAGACCTCATTTTCGCTTATGTCCCTCCACACTGTCTAACATGTTTCATATATTATTGCTAGCTTCAGAAAATGAGCATAGGTATCTCTTCTCTCTACAGACATAGGACTTTAAAAAAAATTATACCGATACATTCTCTTACTAACATTGATTTAATGGTACAAGATTGAAATATCTCATCTATCCTTGTAACTTTTTTTCCCTGCATTCTCTTACCAGTTTTAATTTAATGTTAAAACAGAGTGCTTTAGTTGCCGTTAAGTTGTCAATAAAAATGATCACAGCATTTCTATCCTTGATGTGGTTTACAATAAACCAATATGCTCCCTAATTGTTAAGACAGACTTCAACCTAAAAAACTGTAGCTTCATAAGCAATTGATGAGAGTATATATTTGCGAATGGCTAAAATATTCCTGCACCCCCACCGCAGCTCATTTCTAAGATATCCATGAAAATTGAGATATATACTTTCTTAATAGAAATGTAAACATAAACCAGCTTTCGAAATAATGCGATTGAATGGTCTGAGTAATCCTCCAAAGGTAATTTGAAACTGAACTGAAGTTGTTGAGAAACACTCATTTAAATATATTATAAACAATAATCTTTGTTTTTTATGTAACATATCATCATTATTAATTTTTGTTCTTTGTATGATTTTTAGAAAAAATGCAACGAACCGACACCTCCAGCATTCGCTAAAATTTCACAGCATCTATACTTGGAAAAATATACATTTGCTTGCAAATATTGTGATTTTATCTCTAACTTCGATGGAGTTAAAAACCATTGGCAAAATGTACATTATACGTATTCTGGTGATTTTCCAAAAATCCACGGTCGATTTTTGTGGACATTGGTAAATTATTTGAAGTGTCCTTTATGTATAGATATTTATGGTACATATAATACGCTGGAACAACATTTTCATATATCGCACCCCGAACATCCAGAACTTATCGCAGCAGATCCTCACGTATCCTATTTAAAGTGCGGTTTTTGTATGGCCATATTCACAACCACAAACGCTTTACAGAAACATACTACTGAGCATCACCAAATTAATGGTTTAAGAGAAATAGGAGGAAAAAATTTACGTCTAATTTTGAAATTAGGAAAAAATGTTAACTATTTTAAGTGTCAAGATTGTGGTGATATTTTCCATGAACGCAATCAAGTACTTAATCATATTAACGTATATCATAAGGAGATTTTAGACAGCTTTAATGAGCACATTGTCGATTTAGGAAGCATAAATATATTTTGTTGTTCACACTGTAAATATTATTCAGTAAAAGAAGAGGAAACGTTGAAACATATGATTGATCATTATCCTGATTTTAAAAAATGCATCTACTGTTTAGAAGAACAAACATCATTTGTAAGCTATATGCAGCATTGTTACTCTCAACATCGTGAACAAAGTAGGGCAATCAATGAATTATATACGTATCAGAAAATTAAGAATTTTCTAATTCAAATGTTGATACTATTTCCAAATGGCTTACAACTTACAAAGAAATCTTTATTGTCATGCTCAAATGGATGTTGCTCCGATATAAAAAAAGTACACGAATATATGTTGCATGTAACAATGGAACCACCAATACCACGCCTGTCCATCGCTAATCTTGTAGCACTTAAATCAATTGAAGTGAAACAGTCTCGTGGAGGTGTCAGTGCATTGTCATCAAAAGTTACAACACTAGCAGATTTACAGAAGTTAAAAAAAATAAGTAAACGACGTAATACTGTTGCAATAGATAGTAATTTTAATGCAGAATATAAATCATATGCAAAAAAGCGTAAAATGTCTGGTACTTTGCCAGAAGTTCCGACACCAATATTTGAAAAACCTATTCCCGAAAAACCTTACTCATATTATGGAACAAAACCTAAATATGAAAGCTTGAATGATGTCTACACTGTACTGAACATTTCCAATGAAAGCACAAAAGTGAGTATGAAACATCTGCAAAATATGAGTGATTTTAATCCAAATGTGGTCGTAATGAAATTAAGCGACAGTGATATTGCGAAAATGAATGCGGAAACAACGACCAGCGAGGAAGTTATAGTGTTAAGTGATGATGATAATGATGATAAAATTTCAACTAGCTATGCAAGAGTAAAGAAAGCGTGTCCTTTAAGTGAAAAACACAAACACAAATGATATTCGTCCAAGAGATACAAAAATTATGCTAAAGAAAAGACAAAATGTCCTTTAAGTGCAAAACACAAATAATATTCCTTCAGGAGAAATAACTCCCTTGTCAATTTCAAGAAAACATAATGTATATATTTTCATATAATAGAATAGAAATATGATTATTTTCGTAACAAAAGCTGAATAATGTTAATGTAATATTTAAGACTTAGTATTATTATTCCTTAGTTTATTAGTATATAGACGTTTTTTAAAAACACAAAGGATCATTTATTTGGTCAAGTATATTAAATAAGTTTAAAAAAACTGTTTTCCTTTACGTGAAATATTTAAGTTTTAAAGAAATTTTTGTATTGAAATAAAAAATTGAATAAATTCATATTTTTTTAAAAGATTAAATTATAATAGTTTTACTTCAATCAATAAATTTGTAACTTACTCAAGTTTAAGAATACCGATGTAAATATTGTAATCTTTTTGGTAGGTGTTACAGCTATATCCTAAATAGCTCAAAAACGCTGGGTTTCTGTTAGCATGCCAACTAAGCATGTGAGTGTCCCAATCACATGGGTACAGGGACATCTTGGGCAAATTCAGGGGCGGACAAGCTTGCCGAATCGGGCACTCTAGTTCCTACCATTCGTTTCTAGAATATTGGTATCTCACTTCTAACGGTCAATCTGGCAGTTAAACAAAAATATTTGAGTTAAACCAACTTAGACAAATGAAAATTTCTTTGAGATCTCAACTTAAGAGTCAACCTGCGTAGCGCTTCAGTAGTATATAAATACTTAATACGCAATTTATAAACAATTTTATAAACACCATATGATTAAACTAATTGTCCGTCCATACTTTTTAAAGATCATGGCTAGCTGCAGCACCTCTCTTTAAAGAGCGTTTAAGGCTTTGCAAAAGATTCAATGTGGTTTTTGAACCTCTGAGTTCTTATGCAGTAATACGGCGAACCAATAGTCCTAAGTTATTTCTTAGGTTCACCAGTATAGCCTAATCTAACCTATATTAATTGTCCGTCGATTAATAACACTTTTTGACAATCTTAGTCAGCTGCAAGAGCTCCCTTTAAAGAACATTTTAAGGTTTGTCAAAAGTACAAAATGGTTTTTTAACCTCTAAGTTATTATACGGTAACATAATGGGCCAATAGCACTAACTTGATCATTATGATCGTCGACATAATCTAAGCTAATCTAACCTATATTGATTGTCTGCAGAATGATAATAATTAATTGAAGATCTTGATCAGTACCCTGATCTCCTATTAAAGAACATTTAGTCTTTGTCAAAGATTCAAGGTGATTTTCATATTTCTGATTTTTTATATGGTAACCCAATAGAGCTACTTGTTTTAAGATTGTCAGTTTAACCTATTCTAACCTATATTAATTGTCCGTCGATTGACTATACTTTTTCGACGATCTCATTTAACTGCAAGAGCTTCCTTTAAAGAACATTTTAGGGTTTTTCAAAAGTACAAGGCGGTGTTTTAACCTTTAAGTTATTATACGGTAATATAATGAACTAGTTGAATCATCATGATCGTTGACATAACCCAATCTAACCTAACCTATTTTAAATATTTGCAGAATGATTAAAATTATTTAAAGATCTTGGCCAGTTCCTTGATCTAATTTTAAAAAGCATTTAAGTTTTACCACCGGTGCAAACTCGGAGTTTTTCTATACGGTAATATATCGCTGATACAACACTAACGTAACTGCATTATACCTATATGAATTATCTACCAATTGACAATAATGTTTTAAGGATTTTGGTCAGCTCCATGATTTACTTTTAAAGAGTGTTTAGACTATGCTTAAGATTTAAAGTAGTTTTTAAACGTCTGATTTCTTTTATGGTAATCAAATAGAGGTATTGGATTACCGGTATAACATTTATTAATTTATTAATTATTCGTCGATTCTATACTTTTTTGAGGATCTTGGCCAGCTGCAGGAGCTCCATTTAAAAACATTTTGAGCTTTGCTAACAGTTTAGGATAGTTTTTATATTTCTGATTTCTTTCTAGGTAACCCAATAGAGCTAAGTGGATTATTGGGATCATCGGTATAATATTTATTAATTATTCGTCGATTGTCTATACTTTTTTGAGGAGCTTGGCCAGCTGCTGGAGTTCCATTTAAAATTATTTTGAGCTTTGCTAACAGTTTAGGATAGTTTTTATATCTCTGAGATCTTTCTAGGTAACCCAATAGAGCTAAGTGGATTATTAGGATCACCGGTATAACATTTATTTACTTTTTTGAGGATCTTGACCAGCTGCAGCAGCTCCATTTAAAAACATATTGAGCTTTGCTAACAGTTTACGATGGTTTTTAAACCTCTGATTTCTACCTAGGTAACTCAATAGAGCTAAGTGGATTATTGGGATCATCGGTATAATATTTATTAATTTATTAATTATTCGTCGATTGTCTATACTTTTTTGAGGAGCTTGGCCAGCTGCTGGAGTTCCATTTAAAATTATTTTGAGCTTTGCTAACAGTTTAGGATAGTTTTTATATCTCTGAGATCTTTCTAGGTAACCCAATAGAGCTAAGTGGATTATTAGGATCACCGGTATAACATTTATTTACTTTTTTGAGGATCTTGACCAGCTGCAGCAGCTCCATTTAAAAACATATTGAGCTTTGCTAACAGTTTACGATGGTTTTTAAACCTCTGATTTCTACCTAGGTAACTCAATAGAGCTAAGTGGATTATTGGGATCATCGGTATAATATTTATTAATTTATTAATTATTCGTCGATTCTATACTTTTTTGAGGATCTTGGCCAGCTGCAGGTGCTCCATTTAAAATTATTTTGAGCTTTGCTAACAGTTTAGTATAGTTTTTACATCTCTGATTTCTTTCTAGGTAACCCAATAGAGCTAAGTGGATTATAGGGTTCACCGGTATAACATTTATTTACTTTTTTGAGGATCTTGACCAGCTGCAGCAGCTCCATTTAAAAACATATTGAGCTTTGCTAACAGTTTACGATGGTTTTTAAACCTCTGATTTCTACCTAGGTAACTCAATAGAGCTAAGTGGATTATTGGGATCATCGGTATAATATTTATTAATTTATTAATTATTCGTCGATTCTATACTTTTTTGAGGATCTTGGCCAGCTGCAGGTGCTCCATTTAAAATTATTTTGAGCTTTGCTAACAGTTTAGTATAGTTTTTACATCTCTGATTTCTTTCTAGGTAACCCAATAGAGCTAAGTGGATTATAGGGTTCACCGGTATAATCTAACTTAACTTAACCTAAGCTATTATTAAATTTTTAAAATAATCTTAGCTTTTTAGTAGAAAACTGTATTTGTGTCATTGCAGTGCGAATGATGAGCTTTCATACAAACTCTTCATCAACAATTGTTTGCAGTTTTATTTTTAGTTAATATTGCTTTAATTCGTATAAGTTAATGGAAAAAATTTAAACAATTTAAAATATTTAGATAACACGTTTAATATAGAATTATTTTATATTGTACTTATTTAATAATTTACAAAACTAGGCGGCATAATTTACTCCTATTGAGCTTTTTTGGTTTTATTTGAGCTTATTTGAGTGACTACTCACTCAATTGTAAGAAATCATCTGTTTGCGGTCTACGCTCACTAAAAACAGTCGGCAATGTACATTGGAGCTTCCAAATATAATTTGTTTTATTTATTCTATTTTTAGTGATTAAAGTGGAAAAACAAATTTTTAAAAGTTTTGCTTATATTTTTGTTATACCTATAATTTCATAAGTTTGTTTTGTATTAATTTTTATTGCTTCGATTCAATATATATAAGTGCTTCTCAATAGAAAAACAATTATTTCTCACTATATTTAAATTCGTAAGTTCAAAATGGAATATTTAAATAAATATAAATATGTATTTAAACAAATAGCGAACAGAACAGATATGCCACATACTAACATGCATATTAATAACATAAAAACAGAAAAAAATGTCTCAAGTGGCGTTTTTATGGTACGAATATGACGACGACTGACGTACATATGCATTTATCAAGTTTTGTTGTTTTTGGCATATTCTGGCAAAGTACTTTGCACTTCTCTAGTTTTCCTTTAATTAATAAGAAATTTTCCAAGTAGTTGGTAAATATGTTATAACCTTGATTAAAGGACAATATTCGTTTATTTTCTTATCTCTTTTTAGTTTAAATTACGCATTTCTGTTCTGTAATTTGCATTAAAAATGATGAACTTACGGCAAGCAATAAAAATATCAAATAATACAGCTATTAGGTAAGTTGACATACGTACATACGTACATACGTACATGTGTGCATGCATAATAATATAATATTAACAATTATGTGCTAAAATATAAAGAAAATATTTATACATATGTGTATGTATGTGTGCGTGCACCTGTTTACAGAGCAATAGCAACAACAACGCCGCTAAGGGAAGGCGACTCTTGGTTATCAAAAATTTTTGTACGTAAAATCGAACCAACGAAAGAATCACACAGTCGCATGCTTAGTGACAAGGAAATTATCTATGCCTTACATACGCATAATGTGCGTCCAGACTCGATGGGACAATATTTATCTAATTAGTAAGTTAAACATATCAACAAATACAATTACAATTATTTAATAAAATTCTTATTTTATTTTCATAATTTTAGCAAGAAATCTGTACAACTTATAAATGCCAAAAGTAATTCCTTGTCTTGCAATTTGGTTGCTTCATGGCAAGTTCAAGTTGGAGACATGGATCAGTGTTTACATCTCTGGAAATACACAGGCGGCTTTGAGAAAATTGATCAGGCAAAAGAAGATTTGTGGCATGACGCAGTAGGTTTGAACAATTTTTTTCATTATTATCATTATTATCATTTATTATCATTTTTTCATTTTAATATATTCATCACATTATACATTTGTGCATTTAAGTTAATAAGCTCATTTTTTTTGAAATCCATTAAATATGCATTATTTACATACGTTTTAGTAACTCTATTAATGGACCGACGAGAAAAAAAATCAATGTTTTGTTAACAAATGAGAACGAGAAAATTAATAAATAAGTACGACTTTTTTTTATCATATACATTAATTGTGTGTATACCTGAACTAATAGATAAAAAATTGATAACTCAACTTTTAGAAAGGTTTTAGCTAAACTGCTAATTTTATTATCAAATTTTTATTTTAGTTATACTTGTGTATTATCTTTAATAATATTTGTCCAAACGGTATAATAGACAACAGCATAAAACCAGGCTTGTCCTAATCGGTAAAATCTGCTGTAGTATATGTCTACCGGCCAAAAGAGGCAAAAAAAAACTCTGTAAATTAGGTTCTATATCACTTTTTATTGACGCAACGGGGTTTAGACACCTATTCTTAACCCAGAAGGCGGCGCTATAGACCTGAAAGTCGCAGCGTCACATCCCCTAACAATAATAATATAAAATATATCTACCGGCGCTCTAATTAGGATCAAATCAACGAAATAATTTGAAAAACTGTATTTATACATATAAAATATAACTTCATTATATATAATTATACATGAATTATTGACTATTTAACAAAAAAAAATTTTTTTTTAATTATTGAAATTATTTGATAGTCTTCCTGAAGTATACTTACGACTCTGGTACTAATCACTAGTGATCTATGTCGAAAAAGCCTGACCCTTTTTATTTTATTTGGGACACCAAAACGAGACATTTTAACTATTAGGTTATCGTACCAGACCTTTTCAAATGTCTTGGCAACATCCACCGAGAGTGAGAGTCGGTGACATTGCTATTAATTGGAAGGACAGCATTAAATACTTAGGAATCACATTTGATAAGCGGTTCAGTTAATATAAGCACATACAAGTCAAAAAAAGTAGTTGCGCAAAAACACTGCACTGCTTACAACCGCTTTTCAAACACAACAACCTTAGCATGAAGAACAGAAAGCTGATCTACAGCCAGATAATTAGACCAACACTACTTTATGGGTGTGTCGCGTATAGCAAAGCTACCGACTTTACTATCCAAAAGCTATAAGTTGCTCAAAGTCAGGCTCTCCAAAGGCTTGTCAAAGTACCATGGTACATCCGCACGAATGACATGCTAAGAGACCTTAGAATAGATCCGGTCAAAAAGTACATAAGGGACAGAGCTCTGAAGCTATATGCGAAAACCGACAGACTGCCCTACTTAACACTATCTAATCTCAGAGTAATCACTAAATACATAGATAATACTGACAAGTTACCTGAAAAGAATGAAGCAGGAGATTATCTCTGCTTAGATGCGGATACGATCTCTAATGACAATATATATGATTGTCCGTTCTGCTAGGTCGGTAGTTATAATATTTGTCTGAATTTAGGATGCCGTCAATAGCTGTCATTGTGACTTTCACATTAATCGTGGTCATAGTGTTCCTCTCTCTGGAAGCTAGTACCTTGTTTATTTTCTGTGTTATTCTTTCTGGGAATAAAAACTAACCTACGATATTTTAACAGAATACAATTAAAACATTGAGAAAATCTATAATTTCCAAGCAATAACCCAATTGCCACTAGTTGTTTTCCCCAATCATGTTTATAGTCCTCTTTTGTAATCAGTAACATTTCTACCTTTTCCTTTATTTACACTTGGTCCATTACAAATTCCGAATTGTCCCAATACTTTTTTTAAACTGTTATCACCAGATCATATACAAAAAATTTCTTTCTGTTATCAGTTAAAATTGAACTTTGTTATAGGAATAAATTGTTAACAGATGTGCTCTATGCTCCACCAATTAGGGCAAAGTTACTTATATATAATTTTGACTCGTACAGAATAAAAGTACGCGATGTGTCTGTTTGTAAATTTATAAAAGACATAGTTAGTTCAGCAGTTAATGCTTACATTAAGTATCGAGTAGTGATCACGTAAACATGCGATAGAAATTGTGTACTTTTAAAAAATGATGGCGACAGAAAAATCAAAACGAAATGAAAGGACATTTAGAAATTTGTTGACAATAAAAAAATCATTACTATTAACCAGAAAACTACTGTAAATCAATGCCTCAATGCCTGGATGTTTGACTATACATAGAGATATACAGTCAAACTTCCATAATTTGAAGCACCATTTTGCAAAGGTTCGACTTATGGGGACTTCGAGTTAAGGAATTGTATGTAATTTATTATACCATATATATATATAGTCAAACTTCCATAGTTTAAAGTACCATTTAATATATATTAATAATAATAATTATATGATATATAATAACATATTAATTATTAATATAATATTATTATATATAATTAATAGTAAAAAATTTTATGCTCGTTTACTTTAATATAGAATATTTCCCCATTTATAATTACTAATTAATTATTATATATATATTAATAATAATATATATTATTATTAAAATATATATATATATTATATATATATATCCATAACTTAAAGTACCATTTTGCAAAGAAAAGGTTCGACTTATGGCGACTTCGAGTTAAAGAATTGTATGTAATTTATTATATATATATATAAATATATAATCATATATATATTTGACTATATATATATATATAGTTATAATTAATTATAATATATATATATTAATAATTATTAATTGTTATTATTAATATATATATATATATGTATATATAATAATTATAATCTTTATATATTATATAAAGTAATATATTATTAGTATATATAATTAATAGTAAAAAATTTTTTGCTCGCTTACTTTAATAAATAATATTTCCCCATTTACAATTTAAATATTTAAATTCGTGTATCAAACAAAATATTAAATTTTATTTATTTTATAATTTAGGATTATTTGGGTTTGATGAATGAACGTTCTAAATTTTTACGCTCCCGCCATTTGCAGTATTTGTTGCCATTTAGCTATTGGCCCCAAATTGAGAGCCGCACCGGCAAAAATATTTATGAAATGCGGTAAGAAAGCATTAAGAAAATATGTTACCACTTACCTTTTCATATAAAAATTTTTTTTTAGTTCCTACCGACTTAAGCCTGGTACAATGATTGAATGGGGCAATAACTGGGCGCGTGCTATTAACTTTCGACAAAATAACAACGAAGCTTTTGCAGGATTTTTCTCACAAATTGGACGTCTTTATAATGTACATCATATTTGGTGTAAGCAATTAAATAGTTTTTCTATTTCTATTATATTATATTAAAATCAACAAAAAAAATAAAACTATTTATTATAGGCTATAAATCTTTGCAAGATCGTAAAGAAACACGAGAAGCTGCTTGGCGTTCACCCGGTTGGGATGAGTGTGTCGCATACACTGTGCCTCTAATACGTGAAATGCACTGCCGCGTTTTGTCGCCAACTGAATTTTCGCCAACACAATAATTTTATAAATCATTTTATTTTAAATCGCACAAGAATTAGTTTGTAAATAATTGCATTGGATAAATCTATATAGAGTTTTTGAAAGTGAATTGGGAATAAACTTATAACGATTTAATTTTTGAAATGTCATTGTACAGTTGAGATTATAGTTTAAACATTCATTGCCGTTGCGTATATAAAAAACATCCGTACATTATTAAAGATCATGTTTTGTTATCGATTGAATTAATAAGTAGTCAGCTGTACGTACTGTTAAAATTGTTATAACACTATATCAAATTATATTATTGTAATAATGAAGCATTTATTATGTGAAATAAAAAGAATTTATTAAAGTAATTTTACACCTGTCTTGCACTAAGCGAAGTGACAAATACGACTGGCTCAATAAACCAATTGCTCATTGAACATACCTTACTTATTGGGAGATCTTTGTTATGAATGATGGAAAGATAGAAACCAAAAAATCTAATAAGAATCCTTGCATCGCCGGTGAATAAATTATCTTTGTATAAGGACTAAAAACAAAGCACAAAAAAAAATATTAATTGAAATGAATGACGTCATGGGTTGGGGCAATTGTATAAAAAAAATGAATGCGAACGAAATATTAAAATTAACTACAAAAATATTAAGATGTATATTTAAAAAAAAAGAGTTCCTCTTATTTTCATGGTACAAATAAAAAGTTAAGTTTAGTTGTTGACTTTACAAAAATTTGATATCTTCTTACGCCCATTTAAAATTTATATAAATTATTTATTGTTTTTACTCTAATTAGATTGTGGGTATTTGGCAATACCCAAAACAGCTGTATGGTCAGCCAAAAATTTATTTAATTAAAGTAATATAAAAATGAATTTTAGTTGAAATGAATTTAGAATGATCAGCAATCATTAATCAAACTAAACAAATAGTCTGTCATATTTACATAAATTAAATATTATTATAAATAATAGTATAGACAAGTGGTTCCCAATCGGTGTTCCCTTGGTTAAAAATGGTCTGTGATATATAGCCATATATCACCGTTGGTATGTAACAGGTATAGATACATAGCTTATAGTTTGTTCACTGAAACCTCACTTGTTAGAAAATAAAGACAAAAAATTTCCAAGTTATTATATAACTATTTTATAGTCTATATAATGTACCTATGCACTTATAAAATATTTATTATATACTTGATATTATATACTGTAATATAAGCATATGAATATTATATACTTATATTCATTATGCATTATACCAGAGATGCATAAATCATATTAAAATAATCATACAATTTATTATTCTTATTCAAAAATATCATAACGGTCCGTGGTCAAAAAAGTTTGGAACCCACTGGTAGGTCATTTTATCACTATAGGTCTGTTTTTTAACTCGAAATATTATAAAAAATATTTAAATAAAAAACGGTAATTTTGTTGTAAATTTCAAACAAAAATTATAGTTTATTTTTTAAAACTGATATTACAATCTACTTTGTAGACAATTTTTAGTGTAATAGGAGGGAAACTTAAAAGAAGAGAAAAATTAGTTCGAAAAAACAAATACTTGTAAATATCATTGTTCATCAAAAAAATAATCACTCAATAAATTTTCAGGTCATGTTGCATCTAAGCTTATTATAATATGCGGACAATCTATTGTTTATATTATAATAAATACAAAAAATATGCGTTAGTAAAAATTTAAAAAATAACGTATTTTTACTAACATCGGTAACACCGCTGTACTAAAAAAAATAAAATGTTTAATTTTTATTGCGTACAACATATGAAATTATTATTAATTATTTATTTTAATCATTATTCAAATATTTTTTATAATTTTTTATTATTATTTTAAAATTATACAATATACAATTTTTAATTTATATTTTTTCGTTGACAAAAATATTTTATTTACCCTGCATTTATTAAAAACCGCTGTAATGACAAATACTCCAGCGGCTCACTGTCAACTAAATGTACTTAAAATACCCGCACGTGTTTATTTTTACATAGCATTTAAGAAAACAAGTCGTGTTTAGCATTGTTGTGAAATATTTATCAGCTTTTTAAAATTACAAAAAATGGAATATATCGATATGAAGACTTCTACGGAGGAAGACAAGCAGCAGGCAATGATTTTGTGCTGCGAGTGTGGTGTCCTAATTCAGCCAAATCCTTCAAATATGTGTGCAACTTGTCTACGTACTCATGTTGATATTACCGAGTCGATTCCAAAACAAGCTATTTTACATTTCTGTCGTAATTGTGAACGATATCTTCAACCACCTGGAGAATGGGTGAGTGCAGCATTGGAGTCGCGTGAACTATTGGCACTATGTATCAAAAAGTTGAAAGGTCTAAAGGAAGTAAAACTTGTTGACGCTGGTTTTGTTTGGACTGAACCGCATTCGAAGCGTATAAAAGTGAAATTAACAGTACATGGTGAAATATCTGGTGGCACAGTGTTACAACAAGTATTCATAGTTGAATTTACTGTACAAAATCAAATGTGTGATGACTGCCATCGAACAGAGGCAAAAGATTTTTGGCGCTGCCTGGTGCAAATACGTCAAAGAGCAGAAAACAAGAAAACATTCTACTATTTGGAACAATTAATTTTGAAACATAAAGCACACGAAAGAACACTTGGCATAAAACCAATACATGGTGGTTTGGATTTTTATTATGCAAACGAAAATCATGCGCGTAAAATGATTGATTTCCTACAAGCTATGGTGCCCGTAAAAGTCACAACATCGAAGCGTTTAATATCACACGATATACACAGTAACAATTATAATTACAAATATACTTGGTCTGTAGAAATTGCGCCTATATCGAAGGACAGCGCAGTATGTTTACCAAAAAAATTGCGACATCAATTGGGAAACTTGTCACCCATTTGTCTTATTTATAAAGTAGCAAGTGGAATACATTTAATTGATCCATTAACAGCGCAAATCTCTGAATTATCTGGACAAGCCTATTTCCGTGCACCATTTTCAGCTATTTGTAATCCTAATCAATTAGTAGAATATATAGTTATGGATATTGAAATAATTTTGGATAAAGATCGCAAAAGTTACCCTGGACAAGGACAATTATCATTTAAGCATGTACCTTGTGATATATGGCTTGTGCGTGCATCAGAGCTGGGTGTCAATGAAAACACAACACATACTCGTTCACACTTAGGTCATTTACTAAAAGTCGGTGATTCTGTTCTGGGTTACAATTTGGGTGATACAAATTTAAATGATCCTGAATTTGAAAAACTTACATCTGATGAAATACCAGACATTATTTTGGTGCGTAAATGCTACTCAGATCGGCAAACTCGTACAAATCAACGTAATTGGAAACTTAAACATCTTGCAGATGAGGCCACCGATGAACGTAGTAAACACGATTATCATGAGTTTTTGGAAGATTTGGAGGAAGATCCAGATTATCGGAAAAACGTTAATATATATCGTGATGCACAGAAAGTTCCTGTTGACATTGGCGACACACTGGCCTTTAACGATAATATACCGCGCATAACATTAGCTGAAATGTTGGAAGACATGACTTTAGAGTGTGCGGATGATGAAATGGGCGATGATGTCGATGAGCAAATGTAAATAGTGTACATTTTAATGTAATTGTATCATTGTTAATAGTATATTTCATATATATACAAAATCTTAATAAATCAATATTTTATTTAAGAATTAATATTAACAAACTTGTTGATCTAATATTTGAAAATTTTCTAATGCGTTCTTTACAATTGGTATAATATGTTTTCGAGTTGCTTTAATATTGTTTTGCAGATAAAATTGTCCACCTAAAAAGCAACAACTATTAACATGTTGTAAGTCCAATGACGGATCTTTCGAATTTAACAATTCATTCTCTATCTTTGCGCATAACTTCGGAGAATTTATATTTATTATACCAATGTCTCGTTTTACAGTTCCGTCATCTTCCCGTACAAACATGCCAATAAGCAACACAATTGCACAATTATTTTCCATTGCGAACTCTCTAAGAGATTCTGCAGCTTGTGGTTTAAGTATAAAATCTTGTACTTGTAATGGAAAGCCTGGCATTGCGATTTTTAAACTTTCATTAGAATTTGTTATTATTTTCAAATCTTTACGTAGAAGTTGCGAAGCAGTTAAATGACTTATATCAGCTCTAGCCGTGCGTAACATATCAAAGATGTCAGATCTTGACATATTATAATCGGTTTTATGTAAAATTTTTTCAATAGCTTCACAAACCGTTGAATCTTTTGTTGTAGCACGACCTGCTGCACTCGAAAAATTTACAGTATCCAAAATAATGGTGTTACGTAGTAACTCAAGTGGTAAATAGTATTTATTAATGTCATTTTCAGTTGATATATTTTTTAAAAACAACTCGCCAATCAATGTCGCACACGAACCAACTAATTGTATATTTGTTTTACAAGTCTCAGGTAGTTTAGCTGTTTCGTCTAATGGCCGATGATCAAATACCTCAGCACAATGCGTTGCAAATGGCGAAACATGATGATCCACCAATATAAATTCACTACGCTTTATAAGTTCATCTTGCATGTCATCACGGAAAGTGAGATTTTCCACTTGTATTTGATATTTGTTAAATAAAAAATTAACTTCAGTTTTTAACTGATAGTCTTTACGTGGTATATTTAAAATTGGTATAAAATTTTTAGCTGTTGTAGTTAATGATTTTAATTTATTTTCATGGTAAAAGTAAGCTAAACACAGCGCACTAACTGCTGAATCCAAATCGCATGATTCATTACCAATAACTATGCATAATGATTCCTATAAAATAAATAATTAAAAAATTGCTTATTATGTGTAACATAAAATTTACACTAGCTGCAAATAACCTCCGAGCTTCTTTTAAAAATGTTAACATTTTTATTTATTTTCGATTTGTTTACATAAATACGAGATGGAACATAATTAAATTTGACAGCCGCGAGGTGTCAAAAACGAAAGTGCTGTCAAAAACGACGATGCCGACAAAAACGAAGGTGCTGTGAAAAAGACGCCGCCAAAAATGGATTGCTGACATTCACAATGGCTAGTTTATTGTAAAGAATATTCTTTGGTTGAACGTTTTTTGATATGTTTATGATCGAGTTACTCTATAACACGATATCTATTTAATGCAATTTATCAAAAGAGATTTTGAAAGAAAAATTGAAAAGATCATCTCTAGCGATATTGTTATTAGCACAAATGTTAAAATACAGTAAATGTTAACTTAATTGGATCCATTATTTATTATTCGTATTCAAGACATCTTATAATATTGAAAAAATAGTTTGCATATTTTATTATTGAAAATTATGAAAAATGTGTAGCAAAAAATTAAATTATTTACACATAAACTCTAAAATGAGATACTATTTATTAACAATAGTTATATTGTTGATAAATACATAAATAGTCATATTTTATCTTGTAAAGGATCAATACGCAATTGTATGTGCAAATCTTCTTATACGCGATTCTTATATTTACAATTTTTGAACGATGTCTTGCTTTATTTCTAGACATACATTGCCAGTATTATTGGTATAATGCTCGTACGATTGTTTGCTTTATGCTGCAATACCCAGCGTGTCTATCGTCATAATTACTATTGTATCATTCTTTGGTTTCATTAATTGAGGCGCTATGTTCCACTAGGAGACAAGTGTTAGGACAGCAATAAATAAATAAATAATTATTTTTAGAAATTTTTTTTTGGAAAACATAAGCTTCTCACTTAAGCATTAAATACCGCTCAAATATTTGCACGACATCTCTTTCCTAACAGCAAAGTTTTCTTTAGATGGCATTTGCATGTTGCTCCTTCAGCGGCAAATTTGGATTTCTTGGGCATCTGCAAAAGTTGTTTAGGCAATGTATCAGATACCATGTTAAGCTTATCTTGTCGGTGCCGCACATCAAATTGATGTTTATGCAAATCGATTGCTAATTTCGCAATTACTTCAGTGGGCTTTCTGCTTAAAGTTAATAATTTTAATGCCACTTCATCGGTCACAATAGTGAATCGGTATCCTTCAAGATACGGCCTAAAACTTTTAATTCCATACGCGATTGCTAAACATTCCTTTTGTATATGTGGATACTCTATCTCTGCTGGAGTTAGATATCGACTGGCGTATTCTATGACACGTTCTCTTCCTTCAATTTTTTGTGTCACTACCGCCCATATTTTTCCCTCACTTACATCAGTCTGGAGGCAGAATTTCCGATTAAAGTCGGGACAGGTTAAAGTTGGTGCCTCAGTTAATTCTATTTTAATTCTGTCGAATGCTTTTTGCTGTATCTCACCCCAATTCCAAAATGTATTTTTCGTAAGCATGTTTATCAACGGTTCCATTATATGGTCGAAATTGAATACAAACCGCCGATACCAATATGATATCTCAATGAATTGTCTTAGTTGACCGATATTATTTGGTGGTTGAATATCGCGTATGGCTGCAACTTTATCGGGATCTATATATATTCCCTTTGAACTTACAATATGTCCCAAATATTTTGTTTTCGTTTTGAAAAAAGAACATTTTTCCAAATTTATTTTTAAATTAGCACTCTTAATACGGCATAGTATTTCTTTTAATATGACCATATGGTGTTTAAATGAACTACCAGTAACAATTATATCATCAAGATAAGTAAATGCATGAGGTTCAAGATCTGCTCCAATGACTTGATTTAAAGCACGTTGAAACGTTACTGGTGCAGACTTTAGCCCATATGGCATGATTCGCCAGTGAAATAAACCACGATTTGGTACTTCGAACGCTGTATATTTTTTACTGTCTTCATCCAACGGTATTTGATAGTGTCCATCTTTTAAATTGACAGTACTGATAAATTTTGCGTTACTCAGGCGATTAAGAGTGTTTTGAACACGTGGAAGAGCATACTGTTCTTTTATGCTATGTGCATTCAATTCCCGATAGTCAACTACGAATCTCCATTTTTCGTTTCTCGTTTTGAGGAACACTATTGGGGCGCTGTATGAGCTATTAGATGGTTCAATCCATCCTTTTGCAATGAGATATTCCAATTGATCATCAATGACCTTTAGCATGTATGTGTTTATTGGAAAGGCTTTCTGCTTAATTGGCTGTTCATCTTTCATTACAATTCTATGTGTGGTAATGTTAATTAAACCTGTTATTGTCTTGAACTTTGCTAGTTCATTATCTACAAACTGTTGTGCAACAACCATTTCGTCTTCGTCTAATATATTTGTTGAAACATTGCTTAAATTTTCTGTAGATGAGTCGTCAAGTGTGATGCTGGCTTCTCCCAAAGTAATGGTTGTTCTGATGGATTTGAGAAAGTCCAGTCCCAATATAACCTCATCGATAATATGAGGTAATATCAAAAAGGCTCCTTTGACTGTCTCATGACCTAACTGAATGGAAACTGAACTAATTGCCTTGTTAATAAATATCGAAGTGCCGTCTGCCATTTTTACTTGCGTCGTTTTAACTTTTTGCTGCTTATAAATACCCACCTTATTAGCCAGAGTATGACTTATAAAGTTGTTCGAAGCTCCCGTTTCTAATGTTGCATTAAGTGTGTGACCATTGATCTGGATTTGCACTATGAGTCGCTCATCAGCTATTTGAATAGCTGAAGAAGAAGAGTAGGCATTCTTTTTAGAATTTCTAATTTTTGGGTCATTCAATAACATCATGTGCTTACGATCTTGTCGTGGTGGATGATGCATGAATTTATATTATTTTAATATAGTTTATCTTTGGTTAAGAATTTCAGATGTTAATTTGACAGCCTGTAAGAAAAATTTAAAGAAAATTGCATCGTTTGAATTTTTATATTGAAAAACTGTTTTAGATGTAATATAAACCACTTCCTTAGAAACTAGTTTGTCGATATATATATATGTATGATTCTATTAATAGCATTTATTAAATATTTTTTACTTACATTTGCTGTCAATAATATTTTGTGTTGATTTAATGCCGCTTCGTTCAAACTCTAGACATAAACATTTCGCTAAATGGGAGCTTAATGTATTTCAAACTGTTCGCGCAATATTCATATGATTCCGGATACGCGCACTTGGGTTCAGGCATGTATTTTCAATACAGTTTCCGAGCAGGGTTGCCATTATATATTCTACTGTGTATATGGTATTATAATAAGTCTGTTCCACGAGCTACTCCTAGTAAAACTCAAGTAAAACACAAATAAAGTGCCACAGATTTTTTACACTGGTTTTCATGGAACAGTTTTGTGTAAAGTCTGGTAAGAACACCAGTGCCGCGCAAATAAACAATACAAAAATAAACAATACCAAAACAGCTTATTCACACAACACACAAATTTTACTTGAAGTAAAATGTACGAGTAAAGTCTGTGTAGCATTTTCAAATTTCGACAGGGATGTTAGATGATCTCATATACTCAAAGCATAGCACGAGTAGCTCGTGGAACAAACAGCGGTCATTAACAATAATAACTATTATTATAAAAATAATAATTATCAACATATTATTATTATATATATATATATATATATAATAGTTTTTATGTAAAATTAAATATGTCGGAAATGTAAGCAATCAAATATGAATTTTATGGAAAAAATGGCTCTTTTCCAATCTTTGAACCGATCTGGGAGATGCCGCGGAAAATTCTTCGATCTTCGAAAATTAATGGCACCCTAATGGACATACCTACTACCCTTTGCTGGACTGCACAACCGTAGCGAGTACAAATGTATAAATTATATACTCTTCCTAATATTTTATTCCTTGTTTTATGTGTTAAAGGAATTCAGTCTTCGAAATGTTAAACCCTCATTTTCTTTTATCGTTTATTTGTAGAATGGAATTTATAAAACTAGTACCAAATTGGTAATATGAAAAGTTTTCTCCACTCCTTTATTCAAATGTAGTTACTTTGAGTTGAGTTATTATATTTCAGTTACATTAAATGTATGCTGCTAGGTATAAACAATTTTTGAAACAATACAGATACTTTCCTTTAAACAAAATTTACAGTCTGACTTTAATACAACAGTTGCTTTTTGACACAGAACAAAATCATATTTTATTTTTTCTAATAATATAGATAGTGAACTTATTTTACTACATTAAAATTAAACGTAAAATTTTCACAATGCTTAAATAAATATATAATTGTATAGAAACTTCAAATAAATTATGTTTTATAAAACGCTAATTTAATAACTATCCTTGCGTTTTATTATTTAAGTTGAAATTAGCCAAAAGCGGAAGCGCATCACTTTTGCTACGTTTAGGTAACGTTGCTGTACGCAAGTATGGATTATCAATATTAGGATTCTCCATAATGGCTTTATGTACTGTTGATGTTGGTTTACTTGCATCAGGTTTTGGCTCCTGTTCATTCTTTATTTCACCATCGCCATCAAATTCATTTCCACTTTCATTTTCATCATTGTCATCTTAATAAATTTAATAATTACTAATTAAAAATGTTACATTAACTTATTAAATATTTACCTTTAGTGGTTACATCTTCTGTTCTATTTGCTACCAAATAGTGATATTCCAATTCTTCAAAATCAAATACTTGATCAGTTGGATTTAAAGCAGACAAATATGGTGGAAATGAAGGTTTGCAAGCTATTACTGTTTATAACAAAGCAGAATAGAATTAAAGTAATTAACTTGAGAATTATATATACTTACAAGGAAACATATTGTCTTCGGTATCAAATAAACTATGTGTTTCAGATGTTTTTGATAAAAACTTCGTTAACGCTTTTTCTATATCTCTTTTTTGAGTGGCGGCTTTTTCTCGTATAGCTTCATATTCAGTTACTGGTTGTTTATGTGTCTACAAGTAAACGAAGAGAAGTAATTAATAATTGTTTTTGTTTATGTATATATGATGAAATAATTTACTGGTGTTCTAATATAAGCGTGTGGATCAGGAAAAACAGGCAAAAAGCTAGATACGTGTGGTGGATGATTTGCCTTATTACCAGCTTGCAATAAACTGAGTGATTTTTGTTGTGACGCCTGTGCAGGCATTGGGATTAATAGACGATTTTCTCGCTTCGCATATTCTGCAATACCTCGTATTTGAATTCCTAGATTGATTAGTCCCATAATAACATCATTCACGACGGGCGTTGTACGGCCTGATAACTCACAAAAACTTCGTGTCGTTTGTCCTATCGACATTATTGCTAGTAATACAATAAATTATATTAATATGTTTTTAGTTAATAAATAGATTTATATTTATAGTAAATGCACATACTCGATTGGAGTATTTCAGTAATTGTCTCGATGCATTCTTTATCAGCCGATTCGAATCCTTTTTCATACAAAATTTGGGCCACTGCCGTACTAAGAATTTTTCTTGCAACATGGTTGATAGGTAAAATAGATTCCGGCTTTTCCATTTAAAATCAAGTTTATTACAAAAATTTGTTTACTCAAATGAAATGTTTACTACTAATGCATTCACTAATAATTTTTTGTAGATAATAGGGTTTCCGTGTCAAATAATAAAATAACGTACGTATGCGTCATGTGTCAAACGTAATGCGATGCCTGAAACGTAATGTAATGTGTCAAACGTAGTGTGATGTGTTGTTCACTTCGACACATTTTTTATTTTTAACACGATTATTGTTATTTGGTTAAAATCTAAATTGTTTCAGTAACGAACTCAATTTTGTAGTAAATTAAAGTTACACATCAATAACATAAATTTTTGAAACTAATTGATTCAAGCTACGAATCAAAACACTCACCAAAAACAAATATATGTGCTTACAATTTTCACACAATAAAGATAACAACAGAACAGCTGGCTATTCATTTCTCTGCAGTCGAACAAAAGAAATATATCTCTGTGAACACCATTTTCACTAATATTCAGTAAACATACTTAATGCGTCGTTCTGAAAAGCACTTAGGGTCACGTTATGGCAATCATAACATTTTAAAAAAATTAATTTTATTTGTATTCTTTATACTATGTTAACATTGTGAAGTTAATAGTGGATTATAGCAATCACGAAGATTAAATGATTGAATGATTTCAAGTGCACGAATACCTTGGTGCTCATATATTACTCTAACTAGTTAGTGATTGCGCTCATTAGTAAAAAAGTCAAACCACGTCAAGACTGCAAATGAAAAAAAATATGATGTAACACATACACAAACACTAGGGTACAGTCACTTACGTATAACTTGTCCAAGTGCAATCTATTAATTACTTAGTGTACATAAAATGTTAAATATACGTATAGAAAGGTAAGAATTCATTCTAAAATGTAATTATAAAAATTTAATATTAGATATAATTAATATTTCCACAATCTCTGTGTTGAAAAAAATATGTTAATAAAATAAATAAAATCCTCGTCAGACATGCTAGAAACACTTTTTCTACTCATTTATTATTAATAAATTTTTTAAAATATTTTAATAAAACAAATATAATATCAAACGTATAGTTCAGACACACCTTAATTTAATTTTAATTTAAAAAATCTTAAACATCTTCGTTTTAGCTAAATTAAGTTGTTTTTTCCATACAAAATTCAGTTTTAAGGTTAGAACGAAATTAAGGAAAACGACCTTAATTTCGTTGAAATGAAGGTTGAAATTAAGGGATTTCAAATGCAACTATGCGTAAGATAAATTATAAGCAAAAGATAAACTTTAGATAACGAAAAAGTAATATTATTTTTAAAATAAATGTCTATGACAGTGACAAATGCAAATATACCTAATATGGTCTGCTTAATCGTTTAGTGTAAACATAGAAGTTGTGCTGTTAAATAAATAATCAGTTTTAGTTTTAACTGCTTAAAAAGTAAATCAATATAGTAACCTATAATCTTTATTTTAAATATTTTCTTTTGAGATATACATTTATCAAAAAAAAAACATTAATAATTTAGTAACGTAACTAATTGAAATAACGTTTCATTGTAATTATTTTAATTCTCGTAACAAAACCTTTTTCAAACGTATTAAGATATACTAGGAACGTAGCTGAAATGCAACTCTGTCATATATAAAATGGCAGCACCGTCAATTACTGCAAAAGTTTGACAACTTAACAAGTCGAGAAAAATGCTCTATTTAAGCGTTGTCGCATAATTGTGTACTAATGAAATAAATAAGAATTAAATACATTTAACAATAATTTAAGCATTAAATTACAATTGTGATTAATTTTTATGTGCAAGTGTTAACAACAGAATCATTTATTTTACGCAAACTCCTTTGGTAAGTGTTATATTTTGTTTTGTATACGCTTTTATATTTTGATTGCTTCTTGCGACTGTGTATGCTTTTTTCATTTCCCGCGATTATTCGCGCGGCATTTATAAACTTTCTCTTTCTATTAAAGTAGTAAATGTTTATAAAAAAAGTGTTCACACAATTGAGAATGAATAATTTGTAATTATTTATGAACAGTTAAATAGAAAGAAAATATTTTTTAAGCCGCGGAGAATGTAGCCCGCCATTTATATATTTTGGCGCATTTCTGCAACAACAATAGAATCAGTATCTGATATAGTAATTGCATAAATTATACGGTATATTAAAGTGCAATACTAAATAAAATAGTGAAATAACGGACACGATTAAGAAACATATTTTTTCAAGGACAGAATGGCATAATATATATGACCAACAAACCATGCATTGCAGCTTCATCAAATGTTTGAAGGATACAAAAACAACAATGCCGTGTAATAATTAGAAAACTTACTTATAAAATTGTTAACAAATTAATTATTACAGTTGAAGTATTAAAATTAAATATATATTAAAAATATGATAGGATTAAAATAATTTACACCGCCCAAATAATCTACTTCATGAAAGTGTGTTTTTATTGAGTACTGATTAGGAATATATATCTCTAAAATTTTCTGACCAACAGCTTCTATATTTACCTTCTATTTGTTATGGTAACACGTATGAATCTAAATGTAGTAGACCCGTCTGGACACGGGGTAATGTTCAATTTAAACCGCACCTGCCCCATCCACCCCGTATTCTCATTAAAGGAATTACAAAAACGTATACATGGGTTAAGATATGGTTAGGTAAAGTAGGTGGTGAAGAAAAGGAAGGAGTGTGGAAACGAGTGTGAAATATGGATGAATACGATTCTAATTGAAGTTAACCTGGTTTAAGACGGAATCAAAGATCAATTGGACTCAAGTTAGTGCGTACATTAGCACATGATAACAGATCAGCGACATCATAGGGGATAAAAATGTTGTTGGGGCACACATTACGAATTAACGCATTTATACGTGACAAATAACTTCCTGATGCAGCATGGGGCTATGCCCTAAACTCAATTAGGCTAAGGCAGTTGTTGCATGGAGAGGGCAAATTTCTGATCGAAAGATATTAGGCGATTGCCTTTTAAGAACTTTGTTACTATGCAACGGTGATCACGAGGAGGATAGTACATATGTGTGGAAGGCTGTAGGTCTATGTTTGTATTTAATCTCACTAATGTTAGCTCTATTGCTATTAGTGAAAAAAGAGTTCGAGTTTTTTCTAGGGTTCTATTATGTTATATACCTAAAAGATAAACATTTATTGTCAATAATATTATTATATGTTATTGTATTTTGTAGATTTTATAAAAATTTAATAATATTTTAAAAACATTTAATATCAGATTATCAATTTCAAATTAGTGATTATCACTATTAATTAAAATTAATAGAGCATCGCGCTATTAGCTATATTACTTAAAATCTCTAATCAGCAAAACTCTCACTTTTTAAAAAATTATATATATAACAGTATTTCCATTCACTAATTAAATTATAACAATTCTAGCATGAAATAATCTTATCTTAAAATGCACATTTGAAACTACTTAGAAGTAGATTTAGGAAAAGGGGACAGGGGACAGGACAGGGCGTTGATATAATGCTTTAATAGATAAGGATAGATTGTCTCTGCACGCTCAGATATATATTTAATTTTATAATAAAATAAAAGAGGAAATACACAATTTTTTTAAGGTATAATCGTATGTTAATATGTTCAGCTATATATGTAAATAAATAAAATATTATTAGAAGGGGTGTTAATTTATTTTTTTAAGTATTAGAATATATCAAGATGTTTGTAAGTATAATTATAATAAGACATCGGGGTGGCTGTTCATTCCTAATGACGCTATGGCTAGTAGAGCCCACTCTCCTAGATGCATTCGTCGATCCCTTTTTTCCTACTATTGATATATTGACACCTTTTGCAATGGAGCCAACAGCAGTGGACTTATAACCCTCCACACAGATGCAGTATCCTCTTTCAGACCAAGATTGCCACACAACAAGGTTCCTAACAGGCCTCCGCCTAACATTTCTCTGAAAGAATTACGTCCCCTGTTTCCAGTTCCCCTGTGCAGCTAGAACAGTTCTAGCTCAATTGAGATCAGAATAGAGCCAAGTACTAAACAGTTACTTGTCACGTATAAACACATGTATTCCTAACGTGTGTCCTCCATCTAATTAATTTTTGGTTCCACCCCATTGAAGTGATTTGGTTTCTCCGTCTGGACCCGGGTTTATGTTCAGTTTAAATCTCATCCTCCTCTACCACCCCTATCCTCTTCCCCACCCATGTTATCGTCTTGTATATCCTTTCATATTATGTGTTTACAGGTCCTAGCGGGTTACAACAACATCATAAGTTCCTAACCAGATATGTCTATGTTTTCAAGTGCTGTAATTAATTAGGATTATTATTTTAAGTCAACAAATTTGATTTTTGTTTAATTATAAACAAAAAATATTTAGATTAAAATTTGATTTATTCTTATATAAAATTAAACACTGTATATTTTGTTTAGTTTCCCTGAAAATGACTATCGAAGATAGTCGAAATATTGGAAAAATATTTCAATGAAATAAAAATCGTTTTTAAATATAAATAATAAATTGTAGTTTTTTTATTTCTATTTAAATTGACCAATTACTCCGTTTCAGCACTGCCACATTCTTTATTATATTGAAATATGTTCAAAATAACTGGTGAAAGTAGTCAGACTGCAACTAATAAGATGGCAGTATCAAGTACAGCAGTACAATCAACACAGCAGATTCCGAGTGGTGCAGGTATTGGGTCTGCTATTATATTTTCTTCACAAGAGTTGGCTGTGGAGAATGTAATGCCTGGCATTTATTTGACGAAGAACTTCATAGCTTGGAATGAACAGAATCTCCGAACGCATGGTTTTACACATATTATTATAATTGACAAACACATACAGGAACTTTATTATCCATCGCCAGTTTTTAAGTTAATCACGCAGGAAGCAAATGTCAATTTCGATCCATATAATGATTCGGGCTTTGAATACTGCAGTTCATCATCGACTTCCTCATTAAGCTTTGGGAAAGAATTTGAAGCGATTGACTTAAATTTCGGTGAAAAATCTTACTTAACGACCGTCTTGCCAAACTGTTATCGTGCTGTTAAGTTTATTAATAAGGCACTCCAAAGAGGTGGTACTATTTTAGTTATAGATTGCAACGGCAGCGAACAGAAGTGTTTGACTATTATTGTAGCGTATTTAATGTATAAACATAATATAAGTTTCAGGTAAGATAAACTAAATATACTTTAGAAAACAAATTAATAAGAATATAATTTCATTTCTATACATAGTGCTGCTTTTTCGCGTTTAAAAGAATTTTATAATAAAGCTGATCTTGACCGATTTTACATAAGTCAATTGTACGAATATGAACCAATATTGCAAGTACAACGCGCTCAATCAAGAGGACAAAGCTGTTCACGCGAGTTACATTCTGCAATATTAAAACGTAAAAAAACTACTGATGAAGAAATCAACTATGACACAAATGAGTTTTTAGATTCATTTAATCCACTTTCTCATTTCAATCCAACAACAACCACAACAGCAACAACACGAACACAAACATTACTTGAAAAACTCAAACACATTGAGAAAAACAAAAAACAAGTCAGCAACATTGAATTACTCGGGCGACAACAATCAACTCAACAGCAGACGCCGCCAGAAGTAGTTATTAAAAAACAAGCAGAATTTCCAACCAATCAAATGATGTGGGATGAATATGCTATGGAGCAGTAGTTATATGAGTTTACTTCGTAAAAGAATTCTAATTTTTATTATGCATTATAAATATATTTAAGTAATTTTAGAAATTTAAGTATAAACATTTTTTAAGTAAAAAGCATATATATATATTTATTTATATATGCACTCAAATCGCAATCATAATATGCAAATAAATGAATTGACAAACTTCTGAACAAAAAGAGCCAAGACAGCAAGAGCCATTCTTGGTTGAATGGGAGATAATTTCTCATATAGATGGAATAATTTATACAAACTATTATTTAAAATGATGTAAATCAATTTTCTTTAATAAAGCATCTTTTTAAAGTTTACATCTTTTTGACAAATTATCTTTACCCGAATCAAAAGACTAAATTTTATTTTATTTTTTTATTTTTATAATAAATAATTTAGTAAATAATTGACATTTTAAATGAAGCACAAAAGACTGTAAAGAAATCGGTCAACTAACAAAAATGTATTTGCATTAAAAAATACTTTATTTCCATTTAGAAAAATAACAAATTAATGAACTTACTTTTTTTTAATGAATTAATTATATTAGCATAGATATTATTTATAGTTAGTTGTAAAGATATAATAAGGCTTGTAAACTTCAAAATTGACAAAACCAAAAATTATATATATTTTTAAATGATATGAATTTATTGTTATTAATCTAAGTTAAAACTGTAAAAGATAGTTTTTTATTTTAAACTTAATATGAATACAATTTACAAATAAAATGTAGTACTTCGAACTGCAATTGAAATGGAAACTGATATTTTTAACGTATTGAAAACTGGAATCGAATGGAATGTATAAAGGTTTATTTCGGTTTAGGAATGTGTAGCTTGATGCCTGCTCAATCAATCACATTTTTCAATTGTTCAAATATAAATTAAATTATTCTTCAATTGTTGTAAATTTCATGAAAGAAAGTTAAAAACTCAAAAATAGTTTTTATTTGTAAAATTTGCTTTTTTCCAAAATATAAGCACAATAATTTTAATTAAGATAAAAAACTTATTTGTAATATAAATATTGAACCAAAAAAAAAATTATTTTTTCTGAAAACAAATTTGGAACCAATATATTTTTATTATTCAAAATGGAACTCCAAAATATTGGGGTCGAAACCTTTTCAAATTGTATTAATAAAAAGTTATAAGTTAGGCAAGACTTGCTTGCTATACATAAGATCCGTTTATCGTCATTCAATAATACAGTTGTATTGAATTGCATACAGACTTACTTGAATACAAAATCTTCCTTTTGGAGAGAATAACATATCGTTATGTAGTAGAAAAATATATTTAGATTCCCGACCCAAGTCTGGGAATTGGTTTGCAATTCATTTCAAATTATAATGTAAATTATAATGTATAAATGTAGTAAGTTATAAATAAATTACTTACAATCTGAATGAACAATGTAAAATTGAGTCATATAGATTCTGCTTAAATGTAATTCTAAAGATTTTACTTTAACGAGATAAGGTATCTGTTCATCTGTGCTTGGTGGTGTCTAGAAGAGAATAACGAAAGGGTTCAATAAAAATGTTTTGAATTTACTTTTAAAAAAACACATGAAAAAATATTAAGGAGATAAACATATGCAGTACTGATTATGACTATCACTTACATTATTAGTTGAAATATATATATATTTTTGTATTAATTTATATTTACAATATAAACAGTAAATTGAACAAAATTAAGACTAAGACTTCTTTGTAATATTATAAATCTTAATTTGAACTTAAAGAAAAAAAAATATTGCCAAATCCAAGCATTTATTACAAACTTAAAATAATTTACTCTTTTACAGTTTTAACTAATTAATAAATTTAAATTTATATAAAAAACAAAGCAACAAAATAAATGTTTTAAAAACGTTTGATTTATAAACAAAAAATATTTTTAACGCTTAAGCATTTATAACAAATAATAATATATTAGGTATAATAATATATAATAATAATATATATAATATATTAGGTTCTCATATCTACAAAGTGTATAAGTCTATAAAGCGATTTAAGTTAAGGTTTAGTTAATGCTATGTAAATGAATGTTTTAAAATGAACGTATGATAAAAATCGAATGAATAAAAAAAGAATAGAAAACTATAGATAATAGTATTTAGAATTTTTAATTTATATATATTAAATTAGTTTAAAAAAAATCTTTAGGAATATGAATCCCATTTAGAAATTAAGTATAACATTTTAATAGACTTACATATAAATATATATATATATATATAAACATATATTTGTATAATAAAAGCATAAAACATAAAAATCACTTCGGAAAATAAAACTCATTAGTGTTAGTTTTTATAAAAAAAAAAAAGATAAAATAATTAATACTATATGATGAAACTATTTTTGCAAATTATATACTACTATAGATCCAATTTAGAGATATATATAAGATTAAGACGAATGAAAAGAATATGTCAAAAATGTAGCACAAAAAAAAAATCAAATTTATAATAAATCTATGATTTTTATGAAATGTGAAAAAAGTGTATATTAATTATTTTAAATTAGCACAATTCATTTCAGTTGAAATATTTAATTAAAATATAGATTTATTTGTGTATTAAAAAAATTTATTTTTTTATATAATAGATTTATTAATCCGACTTTAAAATATGGAGTCTAAATTCAAAAAACATTTTTTAAATCTAGCAGTTGCCTAGGGTAACTTTGAATATAGTATATAACACACTATTTTCCCATTCAAGTAGAAGGAAACCAAACTGAGAAGACTATAAACTCGGCTATGTCCCCTAATTTTAAAGGGAGATACCTCTGTTAGAGTTTTTAAGGAATTTGATTCGTCTCTTAGTCCATAATTGTCACTAGTATATATAGTGAAGTACTGTTTTCTCCACAGCCACAATCCTGACAATAGTTGTTGGAGGGTAGACCAATATTGTTTGTATGCCTTCTTTTATATGGAATAGCTTTTCAGAAAGGATACCGTAGCACTGAGTTGGTTTTGCTTGAACTAAAACAGTAGAACAGTGCGAATTTTATTAAATTTGAACCACGTTAATCTTGTAATCAGACAAGAAGAACCTACTTAGTTACCTAAGACTAATTATTTACAAAAAAAAATTCGAATATTTCCTAAGCCCACTGATGATTAGTATTTGGCAATACTCGAAAAACCGTTGAATGGTCAATTAAATTTCAATAAATTAAATAAATATTTGTCCTTGTCTTTTCTTTGCTATTCGAATCCGTCTAACATTTAAATAGTTTCTTTTCGCCATAAAGACGTGTCACTCTCGGCAACAAAAATTTAAACATTCCTAATTATTAACGTTTAAGAGCCAGTTTAGCTGTTCCAAGAGGAGTACCAATATCCGAGAAGTGAATATCGGGGAGTAGTGTGCCTACTTAAGCGAGTTATAATAATGTTTAACAGTTATCCAAGAAATCCAGTATTCTCGAATTATAAGGAGAAGCACTGTTAATGTTTACGATAAATTCAACTGAAACTTGGATGTCCGAGAAAATTGCAATAGTTCCAAAAACGGCCGGGTATCAAACCAAATGCCGTTCATCACACACTAAACGGATTTTACAACAGATCCCCAAGGGCTATAAGAATAACAATAGAAAATTTTTAGTATTTACATCACATACTTATGACGCAAGATGGATTTTACTGCATACAATATTGTCGTTGTCAGGACTACAAGCGACCCGAAAAAGCCTGACCTTACTCCGAAAGCTTTAAGTAGCACAAACAGTTTTTAAACAAGTTTCTCAGTCTAAATAAATTACAAAATAATCACCGGTTTCTTCACTGGACTTGCTGCTGTTAACTGCTAACTTCTTTTAAAAATTTGAACTAAAGAACATCGACAGCTGCACATTCTGTGACATGCAAAGTGATTTTTCCGCACTCTTCATTGAACCGAATGCGGTTTGGAATATGGAACCAAACGACATTGCAAGGATTGTCAACAAACTTAATTAGAAAAGGTTTGCTTAGAAATATATTTTTAGGAATAACAGAATAGATCTGATAGGTCGCAGTGTTTTATTGTTTCTTCTTATCATAATCTCTTATTTAATATTGTAGTGTATCATTATTCCTTCGAATAATAATAATAGTGTCTGCGATTGGAATTCATTAAAGAACAGTTAGGTTATTATTACAAAAGTGATTTAAATATCAACTCTAAAGAGTTTAAAAAGTTCAACTTTAATAAAATTAAAGGTTGGCAGCTTTCTAAATTGATGTGGCACTGGGCTTGAACATCTAGATGCTCATGAGAACATTTAACAAGCTAAACGACTGCTCTTAGAATCTATGTTTGACTAATATTACTAATGCTTTAAAAAATGGTTAGTTATGGTTAACTTTACTTTGAGTTCTATATTTTTACAAATAAAATGCATATATATCAATTCTTTACTTTAATACATTTTTTATTTTTGAAAAATTCTAATTTTACAATTAATTACTTATTGCTAAACATTAATACAATCACTAAAAATATAATAATTTTAAATTTTCGAGTATTCTATATATATTATAGTTTATTAACATTTAATGTTTTACTGGATTTTAGCAGGTATCTCAACGCAAACGATATCATCGCCATTTTGATCTTGTAATTCCCATTTCACTAAAACAGTAACCTATAAAATCACAAGTGATATAATTCAATTTTTCAGAAGCTTGAATTGTATAAAACTTACTTTTGGGTAAGATTTGAGTACAGGTAAAGAAGCGATGTATTCATATGTCTCATCTTTTTCCAAAGGACATTTTAATCCGCTATCAACACAAGCATCGGGATTCTGTAAATGGAATGGCATTTCCACACCCAAAACTTTGCCATGCACAACTGTTTTAATAGCAGTTACTTCCTCAGCTATATACGTTAGAGAAGTAGAATAATTAATATATAAAGGGATGTATTTATGACATGTAGAGATGTATGATAAAATATTTACCTAAAGAGAAGTCAATTGTAATGGATGCGGTGGTATTACGTTTAAGTATGCATTCGTTCTTTGTAGTATCGCAGTCGGACACTACGACTTTTGTAAACTTGCCAGTTTTGGAACCTACAAGTAAAACGGAAAATATATAATAAGAGAACAATTGTTATGTTTCAAATGTCTTCAATGTTTTTAATAGATGATAATACAATAATTTTATTATTAGTATTTTATTGCACCAAGTAAATTCTTAAAAAAGGAATTACAGATAAAAGATTTGTATTTATTGTAACTCGTCAAAAATATATTTCCTTAAGGTAATACATATCCTATAAATACGGTTATAAAAAGTTAATTATTTATTTAACCTAAACTTATTTAGGAGCAGGTTATTTTTGATTTCACAAGACGCCACATCAGATTTATGGTATATGTCTCACTTAAGAATGTAATGAAAGACATAGTTATATTACTAAGTATATCTAAAAATTGATAATTGCTAAAGTACCTCAGAATAACAATATTTTTTGATTTTAAAGAATGTTCTCTTTATCATAACATATCATGGTAATACCATACTATTACCATTACCATATATAATATATATAATTAATGGAACAATAAAATAATTAATTATATAGTATTATGAACTTTGATAGTTTTAATTAGTGTAACCATTATTACATTTATAGGTTAAGATCTTGTATAAACCAGTTTATTATAAACCTATAAATAATATATAGATATTATTTTATTTAAAAAATATATGATATTATTAAAGAAAGAAGTAAAAAAATTATATAAATCATAATTTTCTAATAACTAATATAAGAGCTTTATTGCTTTATAGATGAAATCAAATATAATATAAAGTGAAACACTGATGATTACTAATCAATATATTAATCATACTTTAAAACGAATTTATGTGATAATATAAATATGCCAGCTATCGTTTGTAGACCCCAAAATATATGAAAACACCATAAAATGTTGAAATTATATTGATATTGATAATAATTCCAGAAAATCTATATATGGCAAAGATCAAATAAACGTTAATTGTTAATAAATATATATGAAAACATATATATAAATAAATAAATAAAAATATATATAAATATATACATAAATATATATATAAATATATGTAAATGTAAATGCAATTAAATACAGTTTATAATATATATTTTCTGCATGTGTTATTCATCAATCAAGCGTAAGTTTCAGACAAAAAAAAATAGAATATGTATAAATATTGATAACCGATTTATTGAAAACTAAATCACTAGCTCCTATCAAATTAACAACGTCTGTCTTAAGTAATATCTTAAATGCACTGTTATAAGCAACCTATATATTCTGTTATTGAATCTCTATAAGCACTAGCTATGTAAAAATTATACTCCTTCAACTTTAAAATCATAAGTCACATAAGAAATTACCAATTCAAGTTGATAGAAATTAATCGGGTGTCTACCTTTATAAGTAAGATAATAGTATTACATTAACGATTGTAGTATATTCATTTTTTACCTTAAAAAAATGTGGACAGTAGATTGAATGCTATAAAATTTTTTAGTAGACAGAACTCTTTCCATTTATGACCCCAATGCCAACACGTTCTATGATACTTGCTACGATAGACTAACAATTTTCAATATATGGTCGGGCAGATTTTTATAATTAAACATTGAGAAAGACCACAAAGATAATAAGAAGATAATGTTTATGAGGACTCTTAAGGACAGATAGAATGAACAGAAGCAAGTTTTAAAATTAAAATAATATATTTATATTTAATAATATTTTAAACAAACCAAGTTATAGTAAACTAAAAGAAAATATAGTATATATTATAAATGGTAATAAATTAATTTTATATATCTATATGACAATATTTTATCACCAGGAATAATAAATAAAAATTTACAAGATCTACGCCGAATTCTTAAAACTTAAGCATATTGAGAAATGGTGTTTTGAATAATGAACTATTAAATATCCGATAATCTCAGTAATTTAAATAAAATGTATTTTATTAAATATTATAAATATGTATATATAAATGTATTCCTTCAATTCATTTCAAAGCGGTTGCAGTCTCTCAATTGTCGTTGGCTACGTGCGATGGTAGTGGCAATATATAACGGCGTAACGACACATTAAAGTTTAATCTCATGAAAAATTTGGATTTTACAAACATGTTATATATATACATCTACATATATAACAGGGCTGTCCAAAGAATGATCCGCTGTTTTTGTCAAAAACAACTACGAACGCATTTGTTTCTTTCTACGACCCTCTAATCTGTACAGTGATTTATAATGGCCCGTGATCTTTTCTGGTCTGTTCAGTCCTGATATATAACATGTATATTCATATTTTGTACGTTATATAAACATATATATATACTTGAATAGACAAGCTTTATAATTTTTAACTTGTAAAGACTTTAAATTCTAAAAATATATAAGCCATAAATGTGGTATTTTAAAGCATAATTACTTTTATTCATAAGACTTGTATATATCTAATATAAATAAATACTTATTAAAAAATATATAATATATGAGAACAACACTAAGGCCGTATGCGAGTTCGAGTAAATTGATGGTAAATTGAGGAAAATTGTAAATTATGTCGGTATGGCACCGAATGTTGGTATTTACCAGAATTTCGAGTAGGGTAAATTAGATAAAAAATAGGTTAATTAGGTGTTACCATTTTGAAAATTTTATAAGATGTTTAATAAATAAATTTGAAAACTTTTAACCAAAAGTAATAAATAATAAAATAAATAAATAAATATTTACATAAATGCAGTGCAAAAAATCCCTAGGAAATTTTAATTTACTTGAACTCGCACACGGCCTAAATACACAAAGCGTTTTATTTTACTTTGCTTAAAAATAAAACACCCGACGTTTTATTTTACTTTGCTTAAAAATAAAACACCCGACTTGCAACTTATATTTGATTTATCAAAAATAAGTTGCACAGAAGGCGTTTCAAAGATTGATTATCTCAATTATCTTAAAAGATAATCACATTTATCTATAGTTTTCTATTAAAGGTATATCAATATTACAGAATATCTATTAATTAATATTATATTTATATATATAAAATAAATATAAAAAAATATATATAATAAATATAAATACATATATTTAATATATATATATAATATATATATTTATATATATATAATAATAATATATATATTTATATATGCGCTAAATTTTATCACAAAGTACATTTTTTTTATTTATTTGTAATATAATATATTTGTATATTTTTTTTCTCTTTAAAAAACCATTATTCATATTATAATATAGGAAATATTATTCATAATACAAAATGTTATTCAGCAGTTTTATTTTATTGCTCGAATCAATTAGTCACAAGTTTACATTTACAGAACCTTGACTTAAATTTGCTAAAAATGTCTTAATTAAATTTTTTCTTTATTATCTGTAAAGTCATGTATATTTTTTCCGCAGACACAACTGATTTGATTTAATTAAATTAAATTGATCCGCACAAAATTAGATTTACCAAACAAAGCGAATCCTCATACACAATCACACACGCACACATACACACTTGTAGACCTAAGGGTAGTTAAACTCAGTTTAAAAAAAATTCTATATGTTTACCGCAATCCGTAAATTGTAATCCATAAGTGAAATTTTGATAAGCACTAAATAAAATTGCTAAAATGAAATAAATTTGCTTCATTCTGATATAAGTTTCAATTTTTTCGCAAATGTTGACGAGCACCGAACCGCACTTGAGGGCTGCTAAGAGACTAATGAGAGAACACTGTTTATTTTAAAATAAATTTGTTGATAAAGGAACTAATTTTTTTTCTTTGAACGATATCGGTCGTCAGCAAAAAGATAATATATTCTGTCATTCACATATAACTGCAGAATTTGTATTTTTCGCTCAAATTACTCAAATAATTTACTTGCTAGTGTACATTTTGAGTCAATAATAATGTTTAGATATTTTTATTTAATTTAAAGTTTTTTCTTTCTATTTATTGCTTTCACTTCACATTGCATCTTCCGTACTATACACAAGCAATCTTCTTTATAGAACTATGTACGTTACATTAGGCATACAACGGCTTTATGGTGCACAACTCATATGTATCGAACATCTGTCTAGAATTATACAATATCATAATTAGAAAAAGTTACTTAAAAATAACAATTATTAATAGTTCTAACACACAATTATAATTAAATTTTAAAGGCACCACATATGTTCAAAATTCTTAATTATGTCAGATATATATGTGAGCAGTACCTTTACATCACATAATATCGTTACAATAATAATTGAAAGATTTTATTGTGTTCCTTAAACTCTGCGCCGACTTAGGTCCGACTTCTATTTATATGAATATTTGATCTAATGCGCGTATACACAGTGTAGATTTATTTATATAGATTAAATCAATATTTTGAATCAGACGCTCACTTAGATCTGACTCGTATTCGTATGAATATTTGATCTAATGCGCGTATACACAGTGTAGATTTATTTATATAGATTAAATCAATATTTTGAGTCAGACGCTCAGTTAGATCTGACTCGTATTCGTATGAATATTTGATCTAATGCACATATATACAGTGTAGATTTATTTATAGATCAAATCAATATTAAAATATTTTGATATTTTAGTCAAGCATTTCTTGTGTTCCCTGATCAATTTACGCATACGCAGTATATAGATTAAATCAATATTTTGAGTCAGACGCTCTGTTAGAACTGACTCGTATTCATGTGAATACTTGATCTAACCCAGCGGGACTTTCAGCGCTGAGGGAATCGATTCCCTCAGCGCTGAATGGTAATGCCTAGCGCTGATTATTCAAAGGAAACTCCTAATTACTTTAACACGTGCATGTCATTGCGGGCAAGCGCTGAATCGTTCGATTACCTTTTCGTATTTGTAATGCAACATATCAGCGCTGACATGTTCGCTTACTTTTTCGAATTTGTAATGCAACATATCAGCGCTGACATGTTAGCTTACCTTTTCGAATTTGTAATGCAACATATCAGCGCTGATATGTTCGCTTAAATTTTCAATTTTACCTATGCTATTGATTTTTAAATAAAATACTAACAATTTTTTTAGATGAATTATATTTTATATTTATGTTTTATAAAATCAAAATATTAATATTTACATAAAAATATATAATATATTTATATATCATATTAACTTATTTACATTTTAAATTATTTATATATAATTATTTACATGTTAATTTATTTAAATATTATCTCATTTACATATTAAATTGTTAACATATTTTCATATTAATTTATTTAAATATTAACTTATTAATATCACCATTAATATGTTCAGCTGTACTGCAGGAAGGTGTTGTTTTCGTACCAAAAGTTTGAAAATCATTTTCTATAAAAGAATAAAATATTTTAATAAATGCACGATTAAAATTCCCTGTTTCATTTATACCTTCTTTTTTAAACGATAAAAATTCCTCCTTTTTCTTTTTCACCAAACATTTATAATGTCTTACAGTATGCATCTATATATAAGACAAAACAAAAATTATAATTATCATTTTAAATATATTTACTTAATTTTGCATATACTTACAGTGAGTTTATGTTAAATTACAAATTATATTTTATTTATATTTTTGATTTTAAAAATTAAAAATTGTTCACTGCACGCACTTCACTAAAATCAAAAGCAGACTAAATGTATACAATGTAGGCAAAACAAGAAATTCTTAATACTCATATGCTTTTCTTCTTCATTCTTTTATAATTTCAACCCCGAAATTGCCTATGTCGAACACGAATTTCGAAAACAAAGAAAAATAAAAACGAAGAGCTATTACCTCCTCGCTTACTTTTTCAGCGCTGGCATAATGGTACCGCTGGGAATGCGCGTATACACAGTGTAGATTTATTTATAGATCAAATCAATATTAATATTATGTGAAGGATTCCTTGTGTTCTTTAATCAAATGAACATATACATGGTGTTTATACCATTTACATACAAGTAGTTTATCGATAACTACTTGTATAAGGAAAAATTTAATTATTTTAATATTTTGTCAAGTATTCCATATGTATGCATTTTAATGCATTTTACTTATACATTCGAAACGTTTGAACGCGCGGATTAGCCTACTGTAGAGTGCTGTATTAAACAAACACTGGCAAACAACAAATAGTGAAATTTAATTCATATTGATTTTCTATTTTAAAATTGGAAAATACAAACATTAACAAAACTTAATTTGCCTTTATATTTTATTTTTTGCCTGACAAAAACCGATCCTAAATTTTATTTTCTTCCTTTTAACATGTACATACGTCAATTTTGGCGCTCAATATTAGCCGCCAAAATTTTTTTTTTTCAGTCATCGCGCCCTTTAAATTTAATTTATGTTTACGTTACGATTTACCATTTCCTTTTAATAAAATAATGCTAAACTTTTCTACTAGAAAAATTTGTTACAGTCTTATATTAGTTATTGTAGACATATTCCAGAGAATGTTTAATTCAAACGATTTCTTCTTTGGTTGAAATGTTCTTGGATTCAAACAATAACAATTAATACAATAAAAATTTTAATTAATTCGACAAACAATTTATTTTTAATTTTCTATTCAGTATTTTTTGCAGAATCAATTTTATTATTTTATTATGTTGATGCTGTTTTGAGCTAGTGCAGTTAAGCACTTATACTCTTTTTTAACTCGTGGTGTTTTCAAAACCTCTGTTTACACCTTGACTAGATTATTGTTAATCACTTCATCAGACTAAGCAATAATTGACCTCAGATCTGCATACCTCTCCGAGGATCCTGTAACCATTTTGAGATTTGATAAAGCGGTGTTAGTAAGTCTGTCAGTTTTCGCAAATAATTTCAGGGCTGTATGCTTTATTATATATTTTTTGATGGGATCAATCTTGATGTCCCTGAGGATGTCATTCGTCCTAATGTACCATGCAACTTTGAAAAGTCTTCTCGGAGTCTTATTTATAATCACACATCTGTGTTCAATTTGGTCCTTAATAAATTAGAAAGAAATCTAACAATCTAACTTATTGAGATGCACTAAAACTATATTAACATTATAGACATGTATGCTGACGGGTCATTGTCGGTTAGAAAATCATATAAGACATATATTTTTAATATTAAAATATAAAAAAATATTTTATTATTTATATTTAAAAACAGTTTATTTTTTATTAAAATATTTTTCCAATATTGCGTCTATCTTCGATCATCATCTTCAGGGAAATCCTGACCAATTAGTCCACTAATAAATTATTATATAATATTTTTGGTCACAAATAAAATAATAAAATATTTTTTATTAAATTTGCACGTTTACTTTTTACAAATAACTCATACAGTCAATTTTTTATTTTAAAACACGTAAATAATTATTATTTTTGTTATTTGAATGTATTTTAATTTTTTTTAAATGAATTTTTAAAATTATTTCCCAGTTAAGATTATTTACTTTTGCATTTTAAGTCAAAATAATAAAAATAAAATTGAAAATTATTCAACAAAAAGTTTATATATAAAAAATAGCCAAAATTTATTACATTTCCAAATAGTAGTATATCCAGAGCTTGTGTGCAACCCTCTTCGTGCGACGTGGATCTACGTTCGGCTCTTGTTGTTAATCTACGAAAAGTTGCAGTATTTCTGACATTCGGTTGAACACATACGTAGTTCATTTGTACAAAATTTGTAGTGGCTAAAAGGTGTGGAGAAAATTTGTTTATATTTAGTGAATTTATTAAAAATTTAATTCAATTAAATTTGATTAAAATTATTATTTGTAAAATCAATATTATATTAGTACTTTGATTTAAGTATTGTATTGTGAAAATATCTTAAAGCCATGTTATTGAACTTTTTGTTACATTGTTAAAAGTTTTATTAACGCATATTTTCCGTCTACAAATTATTAATTAAAAATATCAGACAATAGTTAACATAAATCAATTTGCAATTATTGCCATTATGTACGTTTTGAGTTAATTAAAAATAAGAATCAAATTTCTCTTTAATATTGCCACGAACACAAAAGTGTTTCAAGTGAAAGGGGTTGGTGCACTTGAAGCAACCACACTTATAATTAAGTTCATTAGAAAAAGCATTTCTTTTTTAATTAAAATATCTTGTAAAAGCTTTTAACATATTATTAGAAGAATATTTGCACAATATTAGTTAACATATAATTACATTTTATTTGTCATAATGATTTAAAATTTAACTTTCTTTTTTTTTAGCATATAACCTGCCTCAACCTCAAGAATGGATAAAGTTGTTAAATTCTGTGAACCTGGACGCGTTTTCGCTAAGGACTCAATCCGTTTGGTGAAACGTTGTACTAAGCCGGACCGCAAGGAGTTCCAGAAAATCGCTATTGCAACAGCTATTGGCTTCTGCATTATGGGTTTTATTGGTTTCTTTGTCAAGCTAATCCATATACCCATCAACAACATCATCGTGGGATCATAAGAAATGCTATTAATTACATACTTAATTGCAATTCTTTACCTACACCTCAACATCTTAATTCCATTTTGATCAATTAGTATATAAGGAATTATTTTTCATACTGAAAACTTTGGTTATATACTAATATTTAGCAACCTTTACATAAAATCATGTCAAAAGTTTCACGTAAAATCGTTTTTAAATAATTCGTTTAATAAAAATATTTACCAAATGTAAAAAATTGTGCTTTTATGTGATAAATGATTATAAATTATAGTACTTTATATATAGTAGCACTTATAAAGTATAGTAATTATATAGTACTTTTAAGTTATAAGTTTTGTAGACAACCTCTAAAGTTCTGGTGGTATAGTCCTATACATTATGAGATTATAATTAGCTAAAGTTTTGTATAACATTGAAAAAGTTTATAATCGAATATTACAAGTTTACCTATTACTTGCTCAATGTTAATGTTAGAGAAACAAATGTTGCTAATTTCAGCAAACGACGTGGGGGGAAAACCCATTACATTAGTATTTTGTTAGTGTTGCAATACCTCACTCGAATAAAAAAAAATTATAAGATTTTCAATTTTGGAACACAGTTTACGTATTGATTGCTGGATTGGAATTCTTAATGTTAACTGCCATCTGTAAAATATAGGATTGAACGATAGTGACACTAACAAATCTTGCTATGAAGACTACAAGACTCCTCTAAATAATGAATGAGGGATTTTTATGTTGTTTGCTTTTATAGGTTTCTAATTGAGCTTAAAAACGCATATACTATTTATATTATACTATTTATACTTGTAATAACTTTGTGTAATACTGTATGTACACAAGTGCGTTTCTCCAGCAAATTTTCGAATAAATAAGAGCATTTGGGAGAGCATTATATCCCTGTCGAAATTTGAAAATATTACACAGACTTTACTCGTACATTATATTTTAAGTAATTTCATTTAAGTGTTGATGTGTAAATCAGCTGTTTTGGTTTGATTCTAAATTTTTGAATTGTTTATTTGCCCGTTCTCACCAAATTTTACACAAAGCTGTTCCATGAAAATCTGTGTACAGAGCGAAATTTTACATTTTATTTGTGTTACAAATAAAGTTCTCAGTTTTAACTTTATTTGTGTTTTACTTAAGTGTTACTTAAGTGTATCTCGTGGAATAGACCTAATATCTGTATGATGCAATTGTACAAGCAGCTGTAGCTGTAATATATTAAAACACGGTGGACTCAGACCAGAATGTGTAGCTGAAGCAGTTGCTACTACTTTATCAATATTCAATAAGTCGGGTATAATGTTAAAATTATAAAAATTTAATCATATAAAAAAATATAATTTATCAATTTAATAGAAAATATTTTTATATTCGCTTTCGACTTTCTATTTTGTCGTATTAGGCTGTATTCATAGCTGCATTATTCTGTTTGTTTTGCCGCTTTTCGCTGTTGTATTATGTGTATACGGGGTATAATATAAATGAATTCTTCTAGCCGTTTATCGATAATATAATGCACTTTTAATTTAACTTGATGTAATTTAGTTAAAACGAAATAAAAAATCAAGTTTATTTTTTTAAATCAAATATAATAAAAATAAATATAAATTTGTTAAAATTTATTTCTAATATCATTAGTTGATTTTAATGCTTATTATTAACAAATTTGCTTTTGTGTACCTGCTTGTGATTTTTGCCTTCCATTCGTGTTTCGTTTTCACTGATTCCGCTACTAGTTCTTGTTTGACGGCATATGAAGTGAGACATTTTGTGTGAAAAATTAAAATTATGTGAAAATGTTATAAATTTCTTAAGAATTAATAAAACAAACAATAATAAATTATAAAATATTGAACTGTGCTATAAAAATAAAGTGTTTAATAGCATATTTGTACTCGGTTGTTTTTTGTTGTAAAACACGCTATCGTTTGACTTGTTCTCGATAAGAGAAAGCAATGGAGGAAGACTTAATATTACAACAACCAACGGATAGGCGTTTGGGCAATACTAATGCATTACCCCCCGGGCCGCCTGGCGTAGAAATAGAACCAAATGAATTTAGTAAGTATTTTTTATATACTACTTTTTTTAATACAAAATATGGTTTAAATAAAAACAAATTATACTAAATTTACTATTTAATAGGTTCTAAACAGCTAGAATCTGAACCTTTAATAAAAAAAAGTCGAAGACGTTCACCTTCAGGGAGTCCGCCGAAAAGAAAATCAGTATCTCGGAGTCGTCGTTCGCCTTCTCCACTAAGGAGACGTCGTTCACCCTCACCAAGACGTAACCGATTTCGTGATTATTCACCAGATCGTAGACGTATCAGACGTTCGCCGGATCGTAGACGTTCTCCAGATCGACGACGATCTCCTCCGCCACGTGATCGGCGAGATCGACGCGATCGTTTTCGTGGTCGAGGACGTAGTAATAGTCGTTCTATAAGTCCAATTAGAAGGGGTGGTAATAGATGGTCGCCAATGAAACAAAATTCTCCGATGTTGGTACAACAACCACCTCCACCAATTATAGCTCAGCCACCACCAAGTGCACAGCAGCCATATGGTGTTATGCCGCCACAAATGTATATGGGTAATCCACCCCAATACAATCAATATCAAACCGGCTTTCCTACAAGACCAGATCCCTATGGTATGCCGCCACCAACAGCACCTAATTTTAATGCTGCTTATCCACCACCAAATACTTGGGGTAATGGTAATATATTATTAAATATTTAAATAAAAAATTTTTTTATAAATGTAACAATATCTTTTGTAATTTTGTAGATGCATATGCTCCTCAGCAATGGATGCAACAAACTGTGCCTGTGCCAGAGCAACTTCAACAAATGCAACAGGCACCAGTTACTACTGCAGCACCACCAGAACCGATTATGCTAGCAGCAAATGCAACTGCTCAAGCTGTTAGCATGATACCTGAGGCGCCACCGGGCACTTTAGAGAACAATACGGTTAATCATAATGGTATGAAATGAACATCTTATTAATTATTATGTAAAATTCGTATTTATAAATTGTATATTTCTTCAAAAAATATATTCCACAAATTTTTTTATCACCTCATCCAACAAACCAAAATACAATTCATTATCTAAAATTGTATACATAGACAAACATACATACGTTTATGTATATCCATATAATCAACTCAAAGAACGTACATCAAGCAGCAATGTCACGCAATTTAGGTTCAAAAGAGGTTAATACTAGCAGTCCACAGAGTAATTCAAACTACTACCTGTGTCTCTACATTGAAGTTAATATTAAAGTATTTCACGGCTATACATTGATTTATGCGTGAAATCGTAAAAAGCGTAAATAGTGCATAATTGTAAAAAATAGTCATTATTAATATGGTACATCTAATATTGTTATTTATTTTTAATTTGTTTTAGCGGCCGTTGTTAAAGAAGCTGAAAATCAACGGGATGAATTGAAATGGCAACGACTAAATTATTTGAAGAAAACCGCAGGCCTTAAGAATGAATTGAAAAAGTTGAAGGAACAACGCAAAGAATTAGTAATAGGTGGAGCTCCACCATCTCCGACAACAAAGGGTTTTATTGACGAGAATGAAAACCTTCAGGTATGCGCTCATTTTAATATATTTAATTATAGTTTCACAATAAAACAAATTCAATCATATTGGTTATGCTAATGTGAGATATACAAAGAAAAAAATTATTTATTTAAACACGATGCAGAACTATTAAGTTGATTAAATGAAAATAATTGCATTGCTTTAAACTTATTTTGCAAAATGAATTATACAATTGTGTTGAGCTTGTTGAAAACTTAACCAATTAATTTTAATTTGCATATTACACTGTTATTGAGTTATATTGGTGTTTGGTGTAAAATTTAAAGCACATGTATACGTATAAAAATAAGCTCATTCCCAGCAGTATTATTGTAGAGGCACTATATGCTATAGCCAGCCAATTTGATCTATTTGTCGACATCATCGGTCGAAAACAAAAAGATTTGGTTAAAAAAATATTTAATTTATCTAGCTAAAAAACTAAGTTCCACACAGATTAACAACTCAATCGCATTTCAATCAATAGAACAATTCCTCCATGTTGCATACATTGATTCCTTTCTTCATATTAAAAAATTTAGTTCCATAGAGAATAACAACTGAATGGCATTTCGAGCAGTAGAAGAAGTCCTTACGTTGTATATATCGACACTTTTTTTCGTATCAAAAAACTTAGTTCCATAGAGAATAACAACTCAGGCCATGTGAGAGTTGGAGTAAATTGAGGTAAAGTAAATTGAAATTTCCTAGAGCTTTTTGCATTGCACTTATGTAAATATTTATTTATTGCACTTATTTATTATTTTTGGTTAAAAGTTTTAAACATTTAATGAAATTTTCACGATGGTTGCACTTAAATTACTTAATTTTTATCTAATTTACCCTACTCGAAATTCTGGTAAATACTAACATTCGCTGCCATACCGACATAATTTACTATTTCTCTCAATTTACCATCAATTTACTCGAACTCCCATTCTGCCTCAATTACATTTCGATCAATAGAACAAGTCCCCCACGTTGCATACATCGATACATTTTTTCCTATTAAACAACTTAGTTCCATAGAGAGTAACAACCCAATGGCTTAACGCTTAGTAGAACACGTCCTTACGTTGCATATATCGATACCTTTTTTCGTATCAATAGACATAGTTCCATAGAGAATAACAACCCAATGGTATTTCGCTTAATAGAACAATTCCTTACGTTGCATACATCGATACATTTTTTCTTATCTAAAGTCTTAGTTCCATAGAGAATAACATTTCGGTAGGATTAGGAGGAAATTTTCTTCACGTTACATATTTTGATACCTTTCTTTGTATTATGCATATGGTATATCAACACTTATGCAAACCAAGATCGATTGCATGTAAATGTAGAGTAATTATCTTTCATATTGAAACAGTGTCATTTTTGTGATCACATTCTCAACAGGTCTTCGTTTTAAAGTTCAAGGCACGAATATATAATTGGGTTTGGATATAATAAGGTGCTAAATAGTTAATTCTAACGTATAACTACGTTTAATCCCAAAGTGAGATCTAATTATAGCTCTATTCCGCATGACATCACCTATCTTTTTTCATGTCCAAATGCGCATACGAGTCCTATTCTATTCCAAGCCCTATTGAAGAAGTCTCCGTCGTAGTAAAATGATTAATTTCAGTCAGCTTGAGTTTAAATTTAATTAAGACTATTGATATCCTCATCATTTTTCGAACCCACATATTCCTAATTCCACCCTGAACCGCTTGTTACCCAAATTCAAACCATTTATATGACTTATCCATTTTTGCTGTGTTTAGTTACATACTGACATACGGAAAAATATATAGCGTGAAATCGATTCATACGCTCTTGACAAGCTCGTTTATGAATATAGAGTAATCTTCTTCTTCTTCTTGAGTTAGTGCTATTACGTACTTTTACTCTATAATGGCTGGGGGCTTATCTCTACCCCACACTAGGCTTTAACTAGGCTAAAAAAAAAATCATATCATTTATTTGTCTTTTAGTTGATGACGGACCTTAAATCTGCATATCTTCCTGAGAGTCCAGAAGTGGACTTGAGGATTGTTAGGGCGGGGTTAATTAGCGTATCAACTTTAGTGAATAATTTTAGAGTTCTGTCTCTGATATATTTTTTCACTGAGTCAATCCTAAGATCTCTATGTATGTCTGTTGATCTAATATACCATGGAATCCTAAACAGTTTTCTTAAAGTCAGGTTTTGAGCTATCTGTAATTGCTTTAAGGTAGTATTTGAGGCTTTGCTATATGTAACACATCCGTACATAATAATTCATATTAATGCAATTTGATCTAGTAGACTGTATTTTTTTATTTAAATTTTTTTTTTGATTTTTTTGACAATTGATGGATTTGTATTAAAAATTAACCAACGTGAATTGAATTTGTGTGATTATGGTTTCTTATGTTTATTAAAAAATAAAATTGTATATAAAGTTATTTTTAAAATAAGTGCGAAAATAAATACATGGTAATTTTTCACAGCTTATGCACTCGATGATATTTACATACATTTATTCACTTATGCGACTTATAAAATGTGCACATATTTAATGTGTATGCATTGAAAGTAACTGATACCGACTGCAAAAGTTCATATTGTATGGACACGGCAAGATGAAGAATATATGATGTTGATGAACTTCAGCAAGAGAGATGTTAGTTCATGAGGACATTATTTTATGAGCTTTATTCTGTATTCTGTATTCTTTTATATAAAAATTGTACTTAGGTTTATTATGTATATACGTAGATTGTATTTTTATTGTATTGTATTATTAAGAGCATGATGTTCACTTTAGTTTTAATTACCTAATTGAATTGTCGGTGTCTAACGTGGGATCTAACCGGATATTCATATCTTAAGGCTGTTGGATTGGATTGGAGATGTTTGCGGAATGGCTACGCAGAACTTACACCAATATGCGCATATAAAATATATAAATAAAATATTTTAATATATATACATTTTAATAGAAATTAATTAGAATTTTTTTTTTATATCTCTAGAATCAAATTGGGAAAAAGTTAAGTACTATTGAAAATGTAATTGATATGCTTAATGGTTTGATTGGTGAGGAAAACATTGAAAAGGATCAGGAGTTGGTGGAAGCCGACATCGTAGATGAAACAAAACAACAGTTGAACACAAATTCAGAACAAGTCAAGAAAACATCAAATAAATCGACAAGTTCCGAAAGCTCTTCAGGCTCGTCTAGTTCTAATGATTCTTCATCATCGTCGTCATCATCTGAAAATGAGGAGGATGAAAGTTCACCAGAACGTTTAAAAAATAAAGCAATGGAATCAATGAAATCAAAAATAAAAGAAACTAAAAAGGATACTGACAACAATAGAGATATTAGGTAATAAAAATTATATACATTTATTTATAAGTTAATTTCACTAAATATTTTATTTTTTTTTTTTCAAGTACAATCGATGAAAATCGTGTAAATTACGTATTTTACGATCCTGAAATGCATTGGTGTCAAACATGTGACGTGTTTCCAAAAACAGCTAAGGACTATTTAAATCATTTACATTCTCGAGATCACATGGATCGTGAAAGCATTGAAACTCCATGGCACAGCAATATGCCTTATGATGTAATATAATATTTTATTATAGTAATTGTATACCAACCAAATAATATACTTATAAATATTTCTTCACAGCAATATCCAACATATTCAAATGTACCCAACAAACGTACTCCAATACGAGGTTTATCATTTTTTGTTCCAGCCACCGCTTGGTACTGTAAATTATGTCAAGTTTGGATGGGCGACTTACATTGCGCCTCTACACATCTTAAGTCTCCTTTGCATTCAAATAAGTATACCGTAAGATATATTTACTTTATTTTATTAATAAATAAAATGTATGTATATAGGACGAATTGAATGGTTCCATCAGGTTGTTCAACAAGAAAGTTTTTTATTAGAGTTGTAGCTTACATACATATATGTCTATCGAATTGGAAACAATATAATGTGAAAACAATGTAATGATTTGGATGAGGTGTGAACGTTTTCATTTCATAATAACAAATCAGTTCAGTAAACTGATATAATTAATTTCAGTGAATCAATCTTTTTTGTGCATTATGCGAACTATACCATATATAAAAAGTTTTTTAAACTATTTTAGGCACTGGGATACATTATAAAAAGTAAAACTTATTTGAGTACATAAAAACATTAAAAAAAGTTTATTTTTTTTTATAGCAATATTTAGAAAAGAATCCAGACTATGAAGCTAATTGGCTAGCAGATCGTCAACGTATTTTGAATGAAAAAAAATCTGTATCGGCAAATGCAGTAACTACTATTGGCCAATCCAATAAAAAAGCAAAGAAAGAAGAGAGCAAAAAACGAAAGAAAAAGAGGTAAATTAATAATCAAAATAAATTAACTTTATATAATTTCCTGATATAAAAAAAAAGTAAAGTTCATATTACTTTACTTAAGTCCATATTATTAGTACTATGACTGTATCTCATGAGAGTGAAATTTGTTTTGTTTTGGTTAAACGTATAAAATGCTTGTGTGTAGTAGTGCAGAGAACAGAAATTGAGAGTATTCAGCATTAAAAGGTAAACATAACCATAACATTGCATATGTATGTGTGTTAAGTTGAAGAAACCCAGCAAATTTCATTGCGTGAAATTCATGAACTCACATCACACTCTCTTCCCTCTCTCATCAATAAGCAACCGGTTTTCAAGTTCATGTTCATGTTCATGATAGTGTAAGTAGGCCCATAGATTTTTTTTGTTATTTTAATAGAACCTTGATGTCTATGCGGTTGCTAACATATTGCGGGTACTTATTTTAACAACTTTGTCACCTATAACGTTCCACACCTTATTTTTTCGGATCTTAAACTTCTATATCAAGTGAATTTGCTTGACTTTGAGAACCATTTCTTTAAGATCTGGCTGTCGATTTATAATTTCATAGATTCTATATCATTGTTGTAAAACATTCTCTTATTAATTTCTATATATCATGCCATATATTTCATGTATTTGCAGCAGTGACAAAAAGGAGAAAAAGAAGGACAAGAAGAAACGTTCGAAAAAACGTAAGAAGGCAGCATCATCAAGTTCATCATCGTCAAGTTCATCTACGGATAATGAGGAACAGAGAAAAAAGAAACCAGTCATTGTTATAAAGGAATTAGATAATCCCAATCCAGCAGCTTCTATACGAGTAACAATGCGTAAAGAAGATAATAGAAAAATTGAGGAAGAGGGTCCACCGCCTCCACCAATAATTTCAGTAGCAGCATATTCAGCTGAAATTGATAATTCTAACATTAATGAAATACATGCTCAACAGTCAAAACTATTAAAAAATAATAATGTAGAAGACAAAAACGAGGATAATATTATACAACAATGGAATACTTTGCAGCCGGTTATAAGTGAAAAAGAGAAAAAGTTATTAGAAGAATTAAAGGGTAAATTAAAAAATAAACCACGTGAGGATATATTACAAATTTCTAACTTACCGCGAACTGCTATAGAACCCATAGAAAGGGAAAAAGTTAAAAATGTAACAGATCTGTCTCGAACTAGCAACAGACGGGAAACGGATTCCATTCGCCGCAAATCACGTAGCAGGAGCCGTCGTCGTTCTCCATATGATGCTACGAGAAAAAGGAGGTCACGATCACGAAGAAGGTATATTTTTGAAATTTACTAAGACTGAAATTTGTATACTTACCATGTTTTAGAAGTATAGAAGAAAAATTCACAGTATTGGGTAATATAATTTTTTATTTCAATTTCTAAATTAAAGGACTCGTTCACGTGATCGACGACGACGGTCTGTATCACGTTCTCGTACACGTTCAATAAGTCGAAATAGAGCAGGAGATTTTAGACGAGGGCGTCGTTCCAATAGTCGCAATCGGCGTTATTCTCCTTATGGCGGTGGTCGCAGACAAAGATCCCGGTCTCTTAGAAGAAGGTTAGTAAATCCAGAAATGTATTAATCTTTCATATATTCCAGTCCGTGGTAATAATCTTATATATATATAAAAAATGATAAGTTCGAACTAAGTAATAACATTTTTTTTGACTGCTTTAATTTTAGAAGTCGCTCTCGTGACCGAAGACGTCGTTCAGGTTCTCGTTCTCGCTCTAGCTCTAGAAATCGCGTTGAAAAACCAATTGTGAAACATCCCGAATTTAGACCTCGAGTGCCCGAAAAAGAGAAAGAAAAGAAAGCAGCAGACTCTAAAGAAAAGAGAGATATTTCTAAGAAACAAAAAATAGCACCATCCATTCCATCAGGTAAAAAGTTACCTTTTATAGGTAAAATGCCTGTGTTTAAGAAACAAACTCCTGGACAAAATGAAAATGGCTCAGATAGACGTAGCGATGAAAATGGTATGATTTACATGAACGAAAATAGTACTGGTGCAACCATGTATAATCTTCAAACACCAAGACCAATAGCGCCGACAGCAGCACAAATACAAATGGCAATGATGGAGGATGCATTTGGCAATGCACCACCTTTCCATCCTGATGTTGGTATGAGGGTTGATTATGATGATTTAATGCCAGATCCTGTGCAATTTGTAAGCATTATGTCACAAGCACCACCACCGCCCCCACCTGATAGCGGACCTTTAGATAAATCGGATGCTTCCGATAAAGAAGATATGCTACCGCCGGGAATCGATGAAATAGAAACGGAAGAATTTTCAGACAAGGCAGCACCTGCAGATGATGAATGCGCCTTACCAAAGGAATTTCAAGCTGCGCTCCAGATTATATATCCTGGCGATAAGAAGCCAGGTGATGATGAAAAAGATGGCCTACAAAAAAGTTCTGGTATGTTTATATTATTAACAACAAGTGCAAAACAATTGCTTTGAATCAGGAAGTCTTATGTATTTTTTTTTAATGGATGCAAATTTATTTGTTTTTATCTTTTTAGGTGAAACAAAAATAATTGTTGATGAACCTGTTATGCATCCTGAGGATTTAGTTAGGGAAGGTATACATCTGGTAACATTAGAGGAATCTTCAATTATGGGCATGGACGAAGTATCACAATTAAGCATGAATGAACCATTAGTTTTTAATAAACGGAACACAGTAACTTCTGTACCACTACCTGTTGCACTACCACAACTTGAGGATTCTTCTTCGCAAAATGCAGCTGATATAGATTTGAGTGCAAAGAATGTGCAACAAGTACCAAAGCCAACACCTATTGAAGATTTATATAACATTGAAAATGGATTTAATCACGATATTATAAAACTACCATTGGAACCTACTATGGTGCCACCTCCTGAACCGGCTGATATACCAATGCCTTCACCAGATAAGGATGAAGTCACATCAGATGTTGTCTATGATTTGGACGACATACCAAAACCACCACCATCGCCAACAGAAAGTGAGAAGAATCGTCGTCAAGAAGAATTAGACGATTTAGCTATGCTTGGTATTGATGCTGACGATATGGCTGCACAATGTATGTAGTAAAGAAGAAGACAAGACGATAAGGCAATACATATACAAAGTTAAGTCCTCTCTTATATATCAATGCTTGATTTTCTTAATTTTATTTAATTACTTTAAATTAAGTAAGTGACAACAATGTATATCTATAACCATACAAAAAAAATGGAATTATTGAATTATCATATTAAAAGTATAATAAAGGATAATATTATTTTAGTTAATAATTGCATAAAACTTAAAACAAAAATTTATGTTATTAATATTGTAAAGATAGATTTGCAAGATGCATGAGTAAAGTCAGCAATGCATTTTGAATACATTTTGTTCGATGAGCATTGCCAGAGCAGAAGAAGAAGTTCATCATATTACACAGTTCTTATTATACAATAATATTTTGAACACATTTTAAGGGGTGAAGTGCCATCGTCCCCTTAAATATAAAAAAAATTTAATGCAAGAATGAAATGAGAATAAATATGATATAATCTTTAAGCACTGGATTACCAGTTTTTATTTTGCATATCAGAAACCAATTTATATTTAGCACGTGTGCGAGTAAGCCTAAGTTGCGTTCTAAATGAGGGAAATTTTAAGTTGTGCCGATAATGTAGTGATGTGTCGATACGTGTTGATAAATGGCCATATGTGTGCAGTGCAAAAAATCCCAAAAAATTTCCTATTTGGGACGCGTGCGAGTTAGTCTAAGTTGTGTTCTAAATGAGGGAAATTCTAAGTTGTGCCGATAATGTAGTGATGTATCGATACGTGTTGATATATGGCTAAATGTGTGCAGTGCAAAAAATCCCAAAAAATCTCCTATTTGGTTTAGTATCAACTTAGCCTAACTTGCATACGTCCTTAGTGAGAATAACATTTCATTAAAGTAATAGAACACTTAACATTTTTTTAGCAAAACCAATTAAGCCGGGATATGTTGACGTTCTAAGTACATTTTTAATAATAAATAAATGGTTTTTCTTATTTCACCTCGTTGAAATAATTCATTTTTTATATATATATTTTATATAGTCAGTGTATACTTATCAGTTAGGATGTACATATTTTGAAATTTTTTTCATACAATGCTCTGAGCATGTAAAATGATTTCAAGTGAAATCACTTTCATTGTACACTATTAGAGAAAATATTTTCAAATATCTTTCAGACTGAGGTGGTGTATACAATAATAATATGAGATCACGTCATGATATCACACAAAAAAAATATGTAATTGATGTATTAAATCTTTCTTATGCATTGTATATATCAATTACATATTCAATTAATAAAAACAAAGATTTTTCCTCATTGCTTAGCTGTTCACATTTTACATACAAATAATATTTCAAATTTTGGTAATTTCCCTTGTGGGAAATTTATTTTCAAGGGTTGCATTCGACATTTTTCGCCTTAAATGAGTTGATTTATTGATAATGAGCTCATATATATGAAAGATTTTTGTGTGATAAATGAGCAAAATCGCCTAAATAAGAAAGTGTGATTGTGCTGATTAATCTTATATAGAACATTGAAATGCTTTAACACATATAGGTACTAAAATATAACTATATTTATCTATGTTAGTTTTAAATCTTCGTAATTTCCCTTGTGGGAAATTCATTTTTAAGGGTTGAATTCAACATTTTTCGCCTTAAATGATTAAATGATTTATGCATAATGAGCTCATTTATATGAACAATCTTTGTCATCATTATCATAAATCATCCTCATTAGTGGTTATTATGAGCAAAACTGTCTAAATGAGACAGTATGAATGTGCTATAAGAAAGATATTTCGACATTTGAATATAACATAAAAGTTAACTAAGAAAGAACTCTTGTAGTTTACCAATTTCATTTCAAAACTGACTATATACGAATAAAGTTATGGCCGTGAATGTGGTGTAATACCATTATTATAATTTATACATACTTTTTGCAGTTATTAGCTTTTTTGCAAATGATTTTTATAAGACAATCTGAGCGCCTAGAATAATTAGAGGTTAGTTTAGATACAGTTCCTAACAAATCTTGTTGATTTACTAATTGATAGATTACTGGAAATTTAACCCGATTTTTAATAGTGTATAGGTTAGGGTATAGTGTTATAAATAAGTTCTCTGTTTTTAATGATTACGAAGTTAAGGTCGTGTGCGAGTTAGGCTAAGTTGATGCTAAACCAAATGGGAGATTTTTTGGGATTTTTTGCACTGCACACATATAGCCATTTATCAACACGTATCGACACATCACTACATTATCGGCACAACTTAGAATTTCCCGCATTTAGAACGCAACTTAGCCTAACTCGCACACGACCTAAATACCTTTTATGAAGATAATAAAAATAGATTAATAAGTTTTATGTTACGATTCGGAAAGTTAACATATTTAATGAATTATTTTAAACAGTTCTATCTCAGATTAGATTAGACTATTAGATTCTAAGTAGTTTAAAACGTTTTAGCATATATATTATATAAATATATTGCAATATTAAAGTATGTTTAAAGTAAATGATAACTAATGTGTTGTTCTATCCCCCATCGTTGCGCCCTTTCAGACATACTACAACTGATATTTAATGACAGGTAACTAAATGACAAGTAATGATGGAAATAGAGTGAGACGTACATTAAATCCAAGGTACTAAACAAAAATATGATCAGTAAAATTTTGAAATCAATTGGGTTTGGATTTTGCTGACATTTTTAGGTTATTAATATGGATTGTCGTAAAACAGTGGTTCCCAACCGGTGGTTAAAAATGGTCTATGAATAAAATTTATTAGGTATGGATACATAGCTTATGTTTTGTCTACTGAGACCTCACTTGTTATTCATTATACATTATACCAGACATACATAAATTATATTAAAATAATTATACAGTTTATTATATTTAAACCTTGTGGTTTCTACTAAAAATAACAATATCATAGCGAACCTTGGTTAAAAAAGGTTGGGAACGACTGCTGTAGAAAGGTTAGGTTTGGTTAGTTGAGGTGATGGCTTTGTGTACCAAAGCCCATCTAACCTCAAATAATTTCCCGTTATGATTAGCGTTCCCACGGATTAGCGTTGATAATACGCTGAACAGAAAGAGCCCTCAAAAGTCTACTGTCTGTTCGCAGTAGTTAGCACACAGGCAAAACAGTAGTCAGCGCATAGACAACGCTGAAAGGCATGACGCACACATTCCTAATTTTACAGGATGTCAGCCCTGTCACGTTGTTAAGCAAAGATGTACCTTAAAGATTTTAAATCTTTTTTTGACCAAAGATGGGCATTGACAAAGGAGATGAGACATAGATATCTCATCAGTTTAAATCCGTTCGATCGTGAAGTCTGACAGTGACTCTAGGTCTAAACACTCATCGTTATGACTTCGATGTAAACTGCTGCAATTCTAATCTCATGTTATTTTCGCGTTATATAAAATATTAATGAAAAATTTCGCTATAAATTAATTTTAAATAAATTCTATGCAGTAAAAGTTTTTATTTGAATTAGAAAATATTTCTCAAAACTTCTTAAATATCATTGTATAATCTAAGATCTTTTAGTCACATTACTGTTAATTACTTAAAAATATTTTAAACATTAAATACATATATAAAAAAAAAAATTAAATAATAGTAAGATGTCAGTATAGGACACATATTTTTATAAAAAAATAAATAAAAGAAAATGATATAGACATGTATAATAATGTATACATTCTTGAATGCATTTGATTTAAAATATCATAAGGTTATTGCTTAGATAGATTGGTTTACAATCTAATCACATAATCGCATGAGTTTTATACTTACCTCATCTGTTGATGGTACATGGTTTAGGCATTCAAGTAAAACGCTCGAAAGCTCATTACATAAAGGGATTGATGGGGTCTGGTACAAACTTCATGATAACAATGATAAATAATATTGATTTAGCTAAGTATAAAGTGTAAGTAGATTTATTAATTATATATAGAAGCTCAATGTGGTTTCAATTATAATGTAAATTATATACATATAATTTCATCCGCATAAAGTTTATTTTATTAAAATAATAATACAACAATTTCTTCCATATTTTTTTCAGTTTTAACTTAAATCTACATAAACTATACAAATATTCTTATTAAAAAAAAGGGGAGGAAGTATATTTTTCAAATACTTCTCACGGCTAAAAATGCTTTCTCATGAGTGAAGTGTGGTGATTATGATATTTACATATGAAAGTAATATTAATAATAAAAAACATATCTAAAATACTTATAATTAAAACTACGGTCTTACAACTAAAAACTTAACGCTCATGTTAATCATCTGAAAGACAACGATCTTATATATATATCAATTTAAAGTCTAAAACGGTTGCAAGTTATATCTAAATTTTTCGACGATTACGATTGTTACGATTACCAGCATTGCCATTAAAATTACGTTGTTGGTGCATATTATTTAATAAACCCCCGGGACCAAAATTATTAAAATTCCCTACCGGTAATGGACCAAGTAAACCTGGACCCCCGCTAAAATTGGGATTTATACCCAAATCAGGAACTATACCCGGAAATTGATGAAATGGATTATTCGTACCACCTGGCGGCATACCTAAAAGACTTGGACGGCCATTGGGTCCAAAAGGTGGCATATTCATTGGAGGTGGTACAGGTATACCAGGTCTAAATATTTGTTGTGCCATTGGATTATTATCACTCATGTGCGGTCCCAACATATTTGGTGGCGGTGAATTGAGAAAGTCCATTTGTTGCTGCGTTGGTGGTGGTTGTGAGAAATTGGGCAATATTGTAGTGCTACTTCCACCCTCTACATTACTTTGAATTTCATTGTCGTTGTCAGCATCAGACAGTATCTCTCCATTATCATCGATATAAATTCCAATATTTGTAAGGATTTCTTGAAGAGTTGAACTATTGAGTATAAAAGTAATATCAAAAATTTTATTTGGATTCTCATCTTGGTGGAATTTTTTTAGTTCCGTAGCAACTAATGCCAGTTGTTGGTTAGCCATAATCTTAAATTTCGAATTTAAACTTCTATACCAATCAGACTTATGCGCTAAATTCCGTAGTTCTATGTTAAAATTTTGTAGTTGTATAGCGGAGTTCGTAGTGTTGGATTGGCTTGGAGAATTGTTAGTTGCAATTGGTGGCGTGGAAGCTCTATTTTTATTAGTCACGGTTTCTGCTGCCATTCGCCTAGGATCTATTCGCTTACTAGTGTATGAAGTTGATTCATGACTTTGATGCTTGCTACTAGTTTTTGGAGGTATATAATATTTGGGCGATGCACCGTCTGAAGATTCTGGTGATGCTATAGTATTGCTAACTTTAACAGATTTACGTATAAGAGTTTCTGTTCTTTTTGTTCCTGAGAGTTCTGGCAAACCCAGTATACGCCGCAATCGTGGATCATTTGTCTGATCCGACTTAGAACTCTTTCGCAACTCAGTGTAATTTGGTCGAGATAAGTCAATTTTTATAATTTTATACAATATAGGTAAATGCGATGAATATGAAGCATCGATTTCTGTTGCTGGTGTAAAATTAGCTACCGGTTGGAATGGTAACCTAAAATCAATATCAACTAGGCCACTACTGTTTTGTATAAAACGCATATCTTTATCAGATTTCATGTTTAATGCCGATTCCTCTTCTCTTGCAGCTTCTTCAGGACTAAGATCATATATTGTGGCACGTTCATATTTTGGAAGACCATTATCTTCATCTAATTTTGGTGACTGTGATGCTTCAGGAGTAGCTGTACCGGATCTTGGAGTATTTGAACGAGAACGTCTACTTAGTGATGCAAACAAAATCTCATCATCACTATCATGTCTAGGTGACGGAGTATTTTCAAATTTATTATACTGTACCGAGTCAGTATTTATTTTGGAACGTGGATCCTTCATAGCTTCAGAAATAGGTTTGTAAATACTACTAAAAGGATTCTTTAATGATTTTTCAATATTAGTAAGTTTAGGTAATTTTTGTTTCGTTTCATCCATTTTAAAAGTTTTCTTCTGAAATTAATTTAAATACGAGAGCATTAATATACCAGCATTATTAAATTTTTTATATTAAAATCTCACCTCTTCACCATCATCATGCTCTAAATTGATGTCATCGATTATCAACTGTTCATCATCTCGTTCGTCATCGCCTGAATTGAAAAAAATGTTTAATTAAATATACAAAACTAATTGGGTTTATTGGTATTATGTTACTCACATGAACCACTTCGGTCAAATCCCAAATTTGAATCTTTCAAATACTGTGAGTAGTCAACTACCACAATGTTACTGCTATTTGAGTTTGAAGCTGAATCTTCTTTAAGAATCTCATCTTTATTTTGCACCTCATTTCCGAGTGATACAGTACTAGGAAGAAAACGCATATCAACATCTTGTTTTGTGGAACTATATTAACATCGAAAATAAATGTGAAAAACACAAAATGTAATAATAGGTGAGTAATTTACTACAAAATGTTAGTAAAGGTGTAAAATGAAAACAAAATTGCTAAAACTATGAAAAATATTACACATTGTGAAACAGATAGTACTCAAAATTATTAAAAATATTTTATAAATTAAACTCATAAAAAATTTACAATGCTTTGTGCTAATTTTAATAACTTACTTATCATCAGTGCTGTTCTTTTGCTCAGTTTTAGATTCCTCTGTTGGTTTGGAATCAGATTTAGCCATTTTAAGAGCATTAACCTGTATATCACTAATCTCAGCGGCAGTCAATCCAATCTGATTCAGTTGGCCTACAGTTAATTGATTAATTTGCTCTAGGTTTGTAATATTAAATTGTGATAATTTAGATATGTGCTCATCACTTAAAACATTTTTAAGATTTTTAATATCCAAATAACTAGGTCCATTATTGGCTATTGATTCCGAATTCACTAAATTACTACGTTGATTATTACTACTAGAGTTTGTTTCTAGCCAACGTGTTTTACGTTTATCACCTTTTGTTTGTGCTGGATTTAAACTATTAGAACCATTTCCCAGATCCATGTCTTCTATATCAGGCTTTATTATAACCATATCTAATAATGAAGGTATATTTGGTGTGGCCTTAAGTGTGGGTTGCTGCTTTTGTTGCTCAGTTTTGCGATTATAGTTTATGTGCTGTGTTGTAATGGACCAAGTATTTTCAACATTATATTGTTTACATAACTCCTCATGACGTTTATTCATTTGAACCACAGCATTTTCACGAGTAAGTCTCTTAAATTTGCCTAAAATTTCTTTTGGCGCTGTCTCGATATGTTTTAATAGAATACCACGTAACTGTTCAGAAAGTGGTTCGCTATGTGCAAATTTACAAGTTTCTATATTTGGGCAATCCATACCCAAATAATAGTATTTACAAGGAAATTCCGAATGCATATAGGAACATTTGTCTTTTTTCGCACAACATTCCATCAAATAAAATTTGCAAAGTTCTAATTTACGTGGTTCTTGTCTTCTTCCATCCTCCTAAAATTGATAAAAAAAAAAAAACTATTCAAATAAAATAATTTAATAATATTATAAGTAAGACTTACAGGTGAATCATGACGTTTTCGTTTATCTTGTCTGTTATTTCGATCTTCACGTCGTTTACGTGAATCCTTTTTACCACGCCGTCGTCTGCGATTACCAGTTTCAACATCACTATTATCACCTGATTCAAAACTGTCATATGATGTATAAGAATCTTCTGATTCATAATGTTCATCTTTGTAAACATTAACAGGAAGCAACGGTGGATGAGAAATAGGTGGTGGGCTACCACCTCGTACATTAAGCATCTCGTATTCATCGAAATCCTCATCAAGCTCAGGCGCGGGCTCAGGCGGTGATTCAAACCTTTGCTTTTTCTATTTTTTTAATTAATACATTGTTAATGATTAAATAATTAATAACTTAAAAAGTTATAAAGAAATGTTAAAAACGTTTAATGAGTTTTTAAGTAACGTAAAAAAATCTATTAGCTATATTGTTCGTTTTTAGTTCTTCAATCATTGGGCTTGGAAAACGATCAAAAGAATTTAAGTATTAATTTCATTTAAAAAAATATAACTTTTTTAATACTATACTAATATAATAGCTAATCACTGAGCATCTTAAAGATTTAGAAGCGAAAGAGATTTCATCCCGGGGCTACACACGTTGGTGCTGTTTTAGTAGCCCTTGGAAATCTATATGGCATATAACATGGAAGGAATTAGCTAAACGAATACATTGGTTAGGATATTGTGGGGTTATGTAAATGTGGAAGAGGGGTAAATTATTTGGGAACCATAGTTTATTATGGATGGGTGTGATTTTCGGAACTACACAGACACATTGACGATTAAGTAATGGTTAGCGTTCTTGATGGGGGACACGGCGGACTATAATGTTAGTTTTGATAACCAAATTTTTTAATTTTTCTAAATGTAGCTTTTTTATGAAAATCTTAAACATTCTCTTGGCATTATATCTTTAATTGAGATAATGTAGTTGAGATTATTTTAAAATGTATTCAAAGTATGTTAATTGAAACATAAGTTATAAATATGTATTGTATATTGTCTTATGAAATATTGTCATTATCATTGCCTCATATATATGGACTTTGTCATATATGGAATGGCATTTAATCGATCAATCAAGGTTTAGCTTATGATGAATCTTCCTTTACTAAAGAAAGTTTTTTAAATATAATATATAATTTTTTAAATAAATGTAACTTTTTAAATAAAATATCTTAAATAAAAAATAAATTTTTAAATGAAATTAATATTTGAAATAATATATATTTTTTTAAATTAAAATATAATTTTTTAAATGAAATATAATATATATGAAATAATATATATTATTTTAAATAATATAATTGTTTTAAATAATATATTATTTTATATTATTTTATATATATCTTATGTAAGGGGAAGCATTATTATTATATTAGCAATTCATCTACTATGGTGAAAATTCTTTTAAACGGTCATTCATTATCAACTAATTTTTGTGTTTAAGTGGCGTGTTTGGCTTAGTAGTTCCAAATAGAGGTTTGTAGTTTCAAAATATAATTAAAAAAAATTGGATTTAAAAAGGGGTACGCTAGAATTTTCCTTTTGGGTATAAAAAGTTGTTCACTTAATTCACGTGTGCTTTAGACAGGGACAGGGAGGGATATGTGTTAGAAGAACTTTCAATTTGGGTTTAAAAAGTTGTCCACCCAATAGAGGTGTGTGTTTGACAGGGTTATACGTTAGAAGAGTTTACATTTTTGGTGTAAATATTTTACATCCAATAGAGTTATACTTTGGAAAGGTGTGTACGTTAGAAGTATTTTCACTGCATATAGATCAAGATCAACAGTAAGTGTTTAACTACCGTTTTTAATATTATTTGTAACTAATTTTTATGCAATTTAAATATGTATGGCCTAAATTTGTTTTAAGGTATTACCTTTTCTTTACGTTCCTTATCTTTATCCTTTTCGTCACGTTGTTTTTTTCGTTTTCTACGACGACTGCTTTTACTCTGACCATGTCCTGCCAAAATATCACTATCTTTCGCATCTAAGAGACCGTTACGTGGTTCGAGTAACTTTGGTAATGGTGGTTCAATACCTTTCTTTTTCAATGCATTTGCAATAGCATATTCAATACTACTAGCATGATCGTCTAAATTTTTGTAAAAAAATAAAAATAAAAAAGGATCCCAATATAAAAAAATATGAGTTTCTTCGAAATAGCTACCTTCTATAGGTTGTGGTTTTTTCAATTTTATTGGTGCTGGAACAGCTAAAGATGCTGGTGTTGTATCGCCTACTAGATCAATGGTTTCTATTTTACTTTTTTCATTATTTTGTTTATGTGCATTAGTTTTTTTATCTGTTAAAGGACTTAATACAATTGGACTATTATTTTTGGATGGCGGTGAAGCAATAGTAACACCAGTTATCATTAAATCATCATCTTCTCCATCATCATCTATTTCACCATCTTCCAAATCATCGGCCACATCAGCCAATTCAACTTTATCGGCATGGAGTGCTTTACTCAAAACCTCTACCTCAGACATATTGCTCTCTCTCTTTCTCTCTTTATAATAGATAAGCAATTATAGCAGATATAACATAACAGGATAAGGGATGCCCTTATATCAACTTTATATGAATAATAGTTATGCTATATTAGGTAGTTCTTATTTAAATCTGTAAATAAATCAGTACATATGTATATAACTATTAAGCGATAAAAGAGTTAGTATATTTTATTAAATTTTGCTTTATATTTTTTCAATATATGTACATATATATGTGTGTACATAATACATCGCCCCGTCGTAACATTGAGTTTAATTAAAATAATATAAATTTCAATGTGAAATAGTTTTAATATAATTTGAAAATCTATGCTTACTTTTAGTTGAAAAATTATTTTTTTTTTTAGAAAAATATCTATGTCTGTATGTATGTCACTTTCATTATTTTATGATGGTACGATGCATATATTTAAACAAAACCTTTGCAAAATGTGTTGGTTTGATGACATAATTTTCATGCAAAGTCGAGTTAAACTATTCTTTATAAAAATTGTGTTCAATAAAAAGCATGATTTTGCGTTAACTTTTAAATAAATAAGATAATACACGTACAATTTTATCAAATTTACTGTTTTTACTACATAAAAACGTAGATAGAAGTGGTTCATTTTCCCAACAATTATGATTAATTGTTTTTCGCTCTTCTGTATAGTCAATAAACTAATACCAACACAACGAAAGATACAGAAAAAAAGAGCGAGAGAGAAGAGAACTGGTAATGCCTCATTTTACAGCAAAGACAAAAACCATGAACTAAAATCATACAAGAAAAACAACAACAAAAAAAGTAGTAATATACATAAGCAAATGTTGTTTGTATTTACGAGCAACATTTAAAATGGTTAATAATGTAGATACGTAAATTGTTGTTATATTTTCTAGCACGAGTTATAATTTTACATAAACACTTTTAAAGTAGATAAAACATCAGTCAAAATCTATGTCCATGTCCATGTCCGTGTCCACACAAACAAATGCAAATGTATTGTCCTCAAGTCAGGTCTGCTTTATTTACACATACCAACGACGCAGGTATACGATGACCCAATAATTAAACAAATAACATAAATTATTTCCTCAAAAACAGGAACTATGTAATGAATGTACCAAACAGCTTCAAATTATTTTTAATGTTTTTGTGCAAATTAACTAGGTACATTATTCTCCCCGATAGAGGAGCGAAGAGCAAATATACGAACACATACCAAAGAAGATATGTGAAAATATATGTATAAAAAAAAATGTTTATGACAAAGAACAATGCATCCAGCCACGTACAGCATTCATAATATATTGAATGTAGACAAAAAAAAAAAAGTTTGCAACGTCATACTGAAATTATTTGATTGAATTATTTAAATAATTATTTTATTGATAACGCGTAAAAATGCACAGATCGTAAATTCGTTAATTTTATATAACACTAATATTTACATTTAATAGGGACGATGACGCTGCTCTCTGTAATAAATTATATAAATTCTGCAACATTAATTATTATAGTACGTTGTTGCAAATAAATATTGCAGCAAGTCAAACTTTATTTTATTCCAATCCCTAATCTCCAATCGATTAAGCAAAAAAAACAAATACAACGAAAATAAAGAGAGGACAAAATGTCGCGCAGTTCGTATTATATATTCGCTACGTACAAATACATACATACATAGATATGTACATATATAAAAACCATTTGCATCTGCTTTTTGTTTAAATATAGAAAAATAAATTAAGCTAAATTATAGCTTATTATTTTTATAAATACATTCGACTAAATTTAATTTTCATTACTTTTACATTGAATCGCAGTTTAAAACATATGTGGTGTTCCTCTTAATTGCATAATTAAAACATATATAATTTTTATATATAGGCCTTATGTGTTTGTCAGATAGAAAAAATATTTCTTTATATACTATAATTTTCCAACTTTAACATAAAAATGTAATGAACAATTCAACAAATTCAACTTGAATGAAATGTAAATCTGTTGCGAAGCAAAATTTAACCTCGTATACCGCACAGTGTTGTATTTAAGCGAAGCTGAACATTTACGATTTGTGTATATGTACTAAATGGAAATAAATTTCAAAATGTTGCTGCGAAAAAAATTTTTTTCAAATTATTTTATGCTAATAAAACTGTTTGTTTAGGTTTAGATATATATTTCTATACAAATAACTTAGCAATTCAACTAGTACAAGAGATAAAAAAAATAGTAATAAATATTATATAAACAATTATTATTTGATTTCACAATAGCACGTATATATAAGTACTTGAACATATCCTACTGTTTAGAAGAGGAAGATATTATCACTTTCTGCATATATGTATGTATTAACACATGTGCATACACTTTCTGTATACGTATATAAACGCGTGTGCTATTGTTTTTAAGCTCAATTTTATAAAATTAACATATAATAGGTCTATTCCACGAGCTAGCCTTACTCAAAAACTCAAGTAAAACACAAATATAGTTCAAACTGATAATGTAACGCAAATAAAATGCCAAATTTTGCTCTTTACACAAATTTTCATAAAACGGCTTTCTGTAAAGTCTGAGAAGAACACCAGTTGCGCGCAAATAAACAATACAAAAATTAAAATTCAAATCAACACAGCTGATTCACACATCAACACAAATTTTACTTGAAATAAAATGTACGAGTAAAGTCTCTGTAGCATTTTCAAATTTCGACACAGAGCTCACGATCTCTCAGATGATCTCATTTACTTGAAAATTTGCTGGTTGAAAACACTTCTTTATACATAGTGTTACTCAAAGTTACTACGAGTAGCTCGAGGAACAGATCTATCGATTAATCTGAACACGGTGTGAAGGATAGTGGAACAAAAGCTTTCACAAACATATTAAAAAATTGTCAATATAATTTACCGAAGTAATTAAGTCAATTGATCCATATAAAATTATTAAAAATTTAAACTAATTCATTTTCATTACTTTAGCTATACAAAATCTTGATAAAAACTATGCAATGATGTGACCGATAAGAGTGTACTTCATTTTTAAATCTACTCGCTTAGGAAAAGTTGCTTCAAAAAATTCTAATGTAGCAATTATGGATGCAAGTTTAAATAAAAACTTACAACAATTAAACTACAAATCAAAATAAATTTTATACATATTGAAAACAAAAGTGCAGAAAGATAAAAATTGCTGACTTACATAAGACAAGCTAAAGTCTCAACGTACTGTCTTTCCATTCTTGCAAGTTAAGGAAATTAAATAAAAATCAATTAAGTAAAAAAAAATTACAAACATACTAGCTAAGAGCTTTAAAAATAACGAAAAGTACCAGCTAATAGCACCAAAAATGGACAACACAAAACGAGCATACTTTTGCTATTAATATAAGGTGATTTGCTTATTCGGATATTTTAGAAAAAAATAAATTACCTTATTTTGAAATGTCTTATTGAAATTACAAAGATTGACAACTTTGTATTTATAAATGCGACAACTGACATAAATATGAGGTTTAAAAATATACGTCAACTTGTCAAATTTTTGTAAAACTCACATTTTTACATACAAGGCAACAACAAATAGTTTAGTATTTGTGACGTCTTATCACAACTTTATGACAGTCGTATATATACGGTACTATTATGACAATACTTTGAACAGGCTTATCATACACCACTTATAAAAATTAAAAATATATATATATATACATATATAAATAAATTAAAAATAATTATAAAAAACATATTTTATAGTAAAAATATCTACATATAATCACACATATATCAAGTAGTTATTTACTTATATTTAATTATTTACGTTACTGAAATTTTTTCCACAACACTAATCATTTATGAGTACTCGTTGCATATTCTTTTAAGATAAGCAAGATTTCGTTTTTAAATAGTTAATTATAAAATTACGGTACTTATTATTTCAAAAATGCAAATATTTATATTTTGTCCAGAATATTTTTTTGTTTTTATTAATTTTCAAGGATTATTTGATTTAATTGAATTAAAAAAAGTTTACATATATTATTACATTTTCATTATATTGAATATAATTTTTTTATTAAAATATTTTAATATAAATATAAGATAACATTTTATAAGAATATATACGGTGTTTATGCAAAAATTTAATGACAAGGCTCAGATAAAGAAATCAAGTTGTCAGATAAAAACAGTATTCACAATAGTTAATTATTATACTTAGCTATTGTGACATTTGTTCAGCACATTATACATCAGTTCTATATTAGCGGTCGCCATGTTTAGTGTTGTTTTGTGAGAGTCGTGGAAAATGTCAACTAGAAAAGTATCTATTAATGATATTTGAACAAATATAAAATTTAAATGAAAATTTGTTTATAAAAATTCAAAAATTATTCAAAATTAAAAGTGCAAAATTTTACCACCAAAGAAATGATCTAACTAGATAATTCTTAAAGTTAAGGCAATTAATACAAACTAAGTATTTTTGATAATAGAATTGTGGTTAAATTGATGTTGGAAGCCAATAGAAACAAATTTAAATCAATTTGCATTTTGTTAATTTTTTATTAATTAAAGAATACATAAATTCCGATACCTCGTTAATTTTGGTTAAAAAATTTTTATTGGAAAAAAACCATTACACAAAAAAAAGCAACCATACAATATTACTTAAACTAAATAAAAAGTACGGCAAGAAAACCTAATAGATTCTGTGTAATAACTGCAGAAGATATAATTATTATTAGTGCATTAATTGATTTTATTGCAATTGGAGCTGTTGCAATATTTTTTATTTGTCATAAATAAATTCTATTCACAATGGCTGATTTTGATCTAAATGTAGACAGCCTTATACAGCGGCTACTAGAAAGTGAGTATTATTAATAAATTGTTTCAAAATTATAATACCCATTTTAATCATAATAAATTTGATTTTTTTATTTTTGGTTTTTTATCTTTCTGTTTTATTCATGAGCGTTTGTGATGAATGATAACTTGTGATGTAATTAAAAGCCGCATTTGCGAGTGTGGGCTGCTAAAGGAATATTATTCCATACAATTTGTTTTTTAAAGAAAGTAATGTAGTATCGAGTTTATTTACTTTTATTCTATATTCTATATAGATCAGAGTGGGTTCTGTTTTAAAATTCTTCGATTTGACTCATACTTATTTCGATTGAATTACTAACATTAATTTTCTTACTAATTAAATTAATAAGCAACCAATTGATATGGTTAAGCCGCAAATTTTTTTGTTTTACGTTTTCATTCTACGATATTAACCATTTAAAAAGAATTTACTTAATACAGTTGTCACTCAGAATTTTTCGTTGTATTTCGGCCTCAATTTGACTTTAGAATCAATTAATTTTAATTGATTTTCATTGCTAAAAATGTACATAAATGTTGTTGCGCCTTGTTAGTCATTAAATTTTTTACAATAAGTTTTCTAGATAAACAAAATAAAAAAATATAGACATATTTTATTGTAGATAAAATGGAATTGCAAGTTGTTTTTCTTTTGCTTACGAAGAAAAATAGATTCTAAATGAAAAAAAAAATTATATATACATTTAGATACATAATAATTATTCTATATAACTCATATATAATATGTGCCAACTGTAATAACAGTAGAATCTGATCGCTTTGTGTATTTCTTTATGTTATGTCTCTTTCTCTTTAACTGTTCTACTAATGCCTTTTTTTGTTCTATTACTATTATTGTCTATTTCGCACAGTATGGCATAGAGTCTCAATAATTCTAAATCTGACTCTCTTTGGTGCTTTTCTGTAGATGTCTTTCCATGTATATAGTGCTTCCACGTCTTAGTTGGCTTACCAGGTCTTCTGCTATCTTGTAGATTCCATGCCAACGCTTGACTCGCTATGTAATCTCTCGTTAATCTAAGGTTATGAGCTGTCTACTTTCACTTTCTCTGATTTCTGAGCCTTTTAGTTTAGCAGGCGTTCATTCGTGATATTCGTTCTGGCCATTACATTTTGAGAATTTTACGTAGACACTTGTTGACAAACACTTGCATGCATTCTCCCCATATATCTGGAGTGCTTCCATGTTTCATAACCGTAGTACAAGACAGATTTTACATATTTGTATTAAATTTTAGTAAGACTTTATTTATATATGGAAAGATGTATGTATAACAGCACTGAAAATAATAAGATTAAGGAAATGAACTCCCAGGAGTTATTAGGAATTAATAGCAAAATTGAAGAAGAGGGTATATGGCGCTTTCCTCTCCAAATGCTTTATTCCTTATTCAGTTTCGTAGTGATCCATCAAATCATATTCTTACAATGTTAAGTGTACTTTTTATTTATAGATTGTTTAAATACATGATACGGTAATACATCGTTCTCTATAAAATTTTTTGTGTTGAAAGTTTTAGTAATTATTAGTTTATAATATCTGCAATAACGTTTAATAAAAATGGGCAATATACATAAAATAAAAGTAAATACATATATATTTCCAAGAAAATATTTGATTAAAATAAATTTAATATATTTTCTTATGAAATAGTTAGAAACATAGGCATTAGCTCTATCTTATCCATTCAGAACTGTGATTGCATTTGAAGTGCAAAATAATTCAAGTCTGCTTTCGATAAATGTGATTTTTTTTCTACTAACTGATATATGATTCCAAATAATAAAAAAACATAACTACTACAATAAATCAAACATAGTTTCTTTTAAAAGACAATATTATTATAACACATCAAACTAAATAATTTTTCGAAGAACCCTTTAATATTTTATTTTCTATAGATAGTTTCTTTTTGTTCTTGATCGAAATATTTTTTTTATTTATTTATAATCTAATAAAAATTGAATGGAATTAGAATATCCATTGGTATTAATTGAAATGACAAAACAAAATTCATTATTTTAATGAAAATAGTGGCATATACAATATAAAAACAGCTATTTCATATTGCAAATTAGACAATATAATCAAATTAAATTATGATTACTAATTCTAGCTACTTACTCAGACTGAGTGTCTAACTAATATAACTCCGTCAACCGTTACTAGTGTTCTATTATCTAATCTTTACAAAATTCCAAATTAATTTTATGTATATATTATTTCATATATGGTATATCTATAAGTGCAATAGTAATTTAAAAGTACTAAGTAATAATTAGTGTACCTTCTTTATAGATAGTATTTAAAATAATGTATATGAGATTCGATTTACGATAAGGACTTAGGTTCGCGGTGAAAAAGTTAATTAAGTTCAAAATGTTTTTTCTTTGTATTTTACCAAAAAATTGCAGACAAATAGGACTAAATTTAGTGTAATAAAAACGGTAATACTAATATCTATTTGAGAATACTTCTTTTCGATATCTCAATATGGGATAATCTTTGAGCAGACAGTGCTAATAATATGTCAATAATAAACGTTAAATTCATATCATTTAAACAAAACAAAAAATCTATCAAAACATGTATTTATACTTTTCCTTTCCAGTCAAATAGGCAAATAAATGTAAATATCTGGAGTTGGAAATAAATATCGGGCTATATAAAGATTTTTGTCAGATCACAAGACTCTCTTGGTCAATTAATACTGAACCAACTAAGTACTACGGCATCGATGCTGCAGTACACTGCTTATTAGGGAAGCAAGCAATAAGTCTAGGTCTATCTTTGAAAGATTTTGTCGTGGTTCTGGCTCTGCGAATGGTGGGGATATTGTGTCAGTCAGTATCTATTATTGGCTATCAGAAAATTTAAAATCTGTTTTCTAACAGCTCTATCAGCTGTTACTTCTTAAAATTATAGTCGTATCCAAGTTTACAGACTAGTTAGGTTAGTTTTCTTCTACTAAGAAATGAGAACGTCGTTTTTTCTCAAAGCGTTAGAATCTTCTGAATTTTAAAATTAAGATGGTCTTCAAGTCTAGCGAGCGATAACGATAACGAACAAACGATTTTGTTCGATTTTGTCGACTCTCTTAATCTAATTATATATATATGTAGGAGAATTAGATTCCGACTTTGTTTCGTTTTTAAAAGGCGTATTGCCTTCGTAGGACTACCATCTAGTCCAATCGCAGATTCATCAGGTTGTTTCTATAGCCTTTCAAGATGTAGCCTATCTCCATTTATTTTCATTTCAACTATTTTTTTTATTATTTTAAATATATTATAATCCATTAAGTTGGTCTATGTTTTATCTAAGAATGAATGTTTTTGTTATTTGAGCGACGTCTTTGGTCATTGAAGTTCTATTTTTACTATCAAAAAACTTTCTAAAATCTATTTATTGCTATAAATAGATAATTATATTTCTCCGCGATACAACATTCATCCCGTGTTTTGGGGATGTATATCATGAACATATAAACATAATTAGCATACATTTTATAGTTTGGATACCTATAGAAAATGTCTACTATTTTCGAGTATTAGAACGAAAATAATTTCAAAGAAAAGTTATTTATAAAACTCCTTCTACCTCTATATCGAAAAATAGTTTTCCTGTCTATATTTATACAAGGCTTATCAGATATTTCACCACATTTTGAGATCTTAAATGCGAAGAGTCGAACATTTGTAGAATATATGAAAATAATTTTGTGGCAAATGCGGAAATATTCAAAACGAATTCAGGGATTTGTGTTCTACAGAACTGAGGCAGCCAATATTTGTTTTTATTTGCATTTATAAATTTGTTGTTTTAATTTAATGAAAATTGATTTTATGCAACGTCAGATGACAGAGAATCATTTTTGTTTATTAGTTGAAAACATTTTCCATTTCCAATGTAAAACAGTCGGCAATGCCATTGTTCAAATACTTAAACAACTAAGGCAATTGAAGGTGACATATGCGTCAGAGGAGGCAACTTATGACCATTGAATTATTGTACAGATTTTGTGTATGGTCAAGGTGCCTGAGATGACTCTGTGTGCTCTACTGCTTTGGTTCTTAACGTGATGTGATGTGGGTGGTTGAATAATTTGTGTGAATAAATGAAATATTAATTAAAAGCTATGGAAGGGGAGAGTACTCGTATAATCAGTGTGAAAAGCAAATATTTAGCTCTCAATGGGGCATAAAAAGTGGGGTGCATCCAAACTATTTTATGTAATTTTTAATATATTATGGACTATTTCCTGGAAAAATTTTCATGATTATCTTGTTGTATATTAAATAGTTTTTCTTTGCAATAAAAGTTATTTAATTTATTTCAATCAAATTAAATATAATATTAATTTAAAGTTAAAAATTATATAAACATTTAAAGCAGATTTTTATTTGTTAGTATTGGCAAACAAATACATATGATGAAAGTATTTTGTTTAATATTAATTATTGTTTATATATTTTAATATTACTTATATGTATGCAATAGGCATATTGTTAACACCATGCAAATTGTTACTGAATTTTTTCTGTGCTGAAATTTTTAATAAAAATGAGAAAACTCAACTATATGCAGGCATCTGTATGCAATCTGCCCACTTTCCGTTAAAAGAAAATCCAAAAATCTCATTGAGATGCCCCGTAGAGATATCAGTCTTTTGGTAGGTTTATTTACAGGTCATTGCATACTAGGTAACCATGCTAAAAGATTAAATCTCTCTTTTAATCAAACCGGTCGCAGCTGTTGGGAAAACGATGAGAGTGCCTCTCATTTACTATGACTTTGCCCAGTTCATGCACGGCGACGATTTAACACATATTTAGCTCCTTTTCTTGAGGATCTTGATCAATTACACGATCTGACACTAACCAGCATTTTGAGCTACGCCAAAAGTTCTAGGTGGTTTTAAACCTTTAGTTGTTCCTATATATACGGCAACACAATGGGCCAGTAGGTCTAAGTGAATT